TAGGCCCATCACATGATGCAGGCTCAGCAAAGCGGCGGAACCTACCGGTATTCTCTGCAGTTCGGCTTGGCTCAAACAAACCACCTTTGGTACACGCCCTGGTACTCCTTGTAGCAGCGAAGGTATTCCATGAGTGCGATGTGAGCCACGCGTTGTGAATCCCGCGTGCGTGATGTTGGCAATTGGTTGTGGTCAATGCATTGAGTGCAGGCTTCAAACCTTGACAGCTGGAGATCCGTCAGTTGATTTCACGTGAGCGCTATCAATTTCGAGCAATTGATTGGTTAGCGCAGATTCTGGGCCCACACTAGGTGGGTACTGTTCTGATCGGTACCTACGCTTTAGCCTGTGGAATTCGGGTACCGTACAGTGTACAGCCGTGCCGTACCAACCAAGATGCAGGAAACCTGTTACCGCGTCACGTACACAGCCTTCAATGGTGTTTTCATTCTGTTCATTGGGATTGGGAAGGCTGAAGGAGGCCTGGGAAGGAGGTAGGTACGTAGCTGGCGAGCAGCTTGTTTCCCATTTCAAATTGGTCAGTGTTCTGAAGCTAGCGTTTGAAGGGCGCACAATTACTCCACTCTTCAGCAGCTAGGACAATGGCGAGCATGAGCAGTGTGCGCACTGCAAGGTTGCTTCCTGCCAGCGATTTTGCCTCCTCCTCAGCAGCTCCTCAAAACAGTGGGACCTCCGCAGTCCTGCCAAAGTGGAGGAGTCAGGCAGTGGCTGCCCCCCCAGAGAGGCCAGTTTTGGAGAGAGCCCCTCTGCAAAATGGCCGCAGTCCATTGCAGGAGCAATCGTTCCAGCAGATCAGGCATAGGATTCTGCCTCTACGACTCGAACCAGAGACATCTGGCCGCAGCTGGACCAGAGAGGAGGCGACTGAGCAGAACCTCATCTACAGGATGATGTTTGCGGAGGAACCCAGGTGGCTGAAAGACGGGGCGGGACAGAGGAAGGAAACGCACTGGACGAGGCATTCACCAATGAGATCACAAAGGCTGATGGCAAATTATACAGCAGGTGAGCTGCCAGCTGGCACGGTGACGAATTCTTGATTTTTTGAGTCTCTGTCTTTCTACAGCTGGTGCTCCCATTGCTATATTGTAATGATCATAATTTAGAGGCCAATGATCGTATCACTCTTTCACAAATAGAGGGGTGGTGTTGCTCACTCTGCTGCTTCCGAGTGTGATCGCAAGTGGAGTGCACTGACTCAGTGCCTCTTCGGCACTGATTTATTCTACTGGTCCTGTTGTTGTCCTGGTCATTGCTAAACCAAGGAACCTTGTCGCTGTTGCAGACCCGGAGCTCAAGACTGTATGTGCGTCTTATGGGGGCCTCACGAAGACCATCAAGCTGCACCAGGGCTGCTCCGATGAGATGGTGGAGCAGCTCCTGAGGGAGGCGTTCGACCTGTGCCCAGAGCGCGTCATCTGCTTGCGGGACAGGATTACAGGGGCAGTGACAGCGGCAAAGACCCAGATGGCAGAGGGGGACTATGAGATCATCACAGATGAAGGTAGGCAGCGGACTGCGCAGGCTCAATGAATGCAGAGATTGAATGTTTTTCACTGTCTGCATTCATCTGCCCCAAGGAGTGAAGGTTGCGTTTTTGCTTAGACTGCCTGCGAATGGGAAAATGCACCTTCTCAGTTTGAGCTGCGCATTTGGGAACTCTGCTGAGCTCAGCCTCTTCAGCCCCATATGGTTCACCTTCTTGGATCCAATAGGATCTGTCCTCTTTTTATGAGAATGACTGTGACCTTGACACAACGTACGTATCTGAGTTGGGTATGCCCCATCTGAGAGTTACTCCTCTCGCTGCATTTGAGTTTCGAGATGGGTTCGAGGAGGCTTTTTCTTGTCCTCTTCTCTTTTTCTATTTCCAGACTCGAAGAATGTGCTTTAAGCGAAGCAGCAATCAATGAGCTCATGGTCTCTTGGTCCTTTTGCAGACCAGGATGTCGCGGGGCACCTCCCCGTCAAGTCCCTGCACCGCCAAATCACGCGCACCGCCAGCAAGGCAGCCGTGAAGGACGCCCTCAAGCACTGCGGGCTGGCGCACATCCTCCCCGAGCTCAAGCACATGTCGGGGGCTAAGCTACTGTCAATGCCCCTCGACGCACTGCAAACCATGTACTCGTTGAGTGGGTGGCGCCTCCGCGCCGTGAGAAGTCTGTACCTCGCCCTACACCCCCCCGCTAGGATTAGAGTGGAGGACCCAGCTTCAGGGGAGGGGTCAGCTACGCTTACGGTGGCCTCGGCGAAGGAGTTTAGCGAGCTGTTGGGGGCGCAGAACTGTGTGGCGCTGCGTGCGTGCGATACGCGTGGGGTGGGGCATTTGGCGGTCCGGTTTGAGGACCTAAGGGACGGGCATGCGTATAGCCCTGTGCGTGTAAATAGCAACCTGTTTGGCTGCATTGAGGCTGCTCTGTAGATAGCGGGTCTAATAGGATGAAACCTGTGTGTTTGGAGCCTGTTCAGCTGAATTAGAGAGTGTACAGCCATGTACAGACACGGGACAGAAGTCATGACCTGAGTGAGCCATAGTACGCGTGCTGGGGACTTCCCGGTTCGGAGATGTATACAGACCGCAGAGCGTTGCGTGTCAGAAACAGGTCATACAAGAAGTGTAGATATCACAAAGGTGGCTGGCATATAATAAGAGCATGGGCCCGCACTAGCTGGTGCAAATTGTTGCTTCAAAGCAAACTTAGCCAAAGCTCACGCATGCCAAGGAGCTCAGACAGGACCGCAACACTTTAAGACACATAAGACACCAGAATAAGAGTTCCTTGCTATAATATATAAGCTGTTCGTAGGGCAACGCGTTGGATGTTGAAGCTTCTTGCCGAACTGTAAGCCGGCCAAAGTTTGAGTTACTCTGGAGTCTGGTTAACCCTTGTACACTGAGCACAATTTCGTTCATGAAGGGTTGCAAGTGCAAGCTTGTAGCTGTCGAGTGGGAGATGAGCTCTGCATGAAGCTTTTTATGCATGGTATTTTCTCAATTGAGCTATATATTTGTACAACTGTCCGACATGAACAGTCCATATCATTGTGTCGAAATCGACAATCCAAAGTGCAATTAGTGAACCATGCAATTCGTTCTGAGATAAGTATGCATGTGGAATTATTAATTTTGAGATGAACACTGCATGCTGTGCATGCACTAGTACGTTCACATGCTTATCGTGGACGCAATATCGCCGGGGTTTCCTTTACTTCATTCTAGGCTAGCTATTGCTGCGAATGTTTAGATTGGCCGGAGTGGTCTCATTGAACCCCTCCGCTAAATCATTGCATATAAATATTCCGTAGGCTATTCGAACGTCAAATTGATTGCACTCACAAATATACACGAGTGCGGTACTAATACAACTTCACCTCTACATACATCTGCACATGGCCTAGTGACTAGCCTGGCCGGCGACGCGGTGAGATCGTGCCGTCATGTACCGTATGCAGCATGGCAGTGCGCCGATGATGGCGATTGAAGAGCAAGAGACAGCCGCCCGGTGAGTCCCGCAACCATGGCAGCCCAAACCGGGCGATACACTGATAATCTAGTGACGTGCTCTATGCAATCGGGTACCAAGAGACATATTCAAAATGGTATAACATTGAGCAGCATCCAACCGCATGCCAGTTGGTCAATTGAACGTGTGCATGTCCGCATACGGCACTTCTTTACATACACACCAACACATCATGCACGTGTGCAGACATCAAAGAGTCTGACGGACCCGCCTCCAGACATCAATAAGCATGCCCGCTGCAAAGTAGCGGACCCCTGATCGGCTGGTTTAAACCAGGGGTCTCTTGCACGTCTGTACACTTCACTACATTACACAAGTCGTTACGGCTTCCGGTCGCACAGCAAGCCGCGTGCTACAACAAACCCAAGTATTTCGCCACGCGCCGCAGCATCTCCTCTTGGAGCGCAGTGAGGGCCGGCGGCGCGGCACCCATGTATTGGGCCTTGCCGTGCCGGCTGCTGTACAGGCTGTACAGGTTACGTGCCTCGGCCTCCGGGAGGGCGCTTTTGGCCACGTCAGCCTCGGGCCTGTACGCGAGCGCGACCGCAAGCCGCGTGACGTCATCGGCCGCAAAACCTGAATCACAAGATAGAGATGTCTCGCATTCAGCGCCAACACGGAAAAGCCCAAGAGGAAACCAACCCGTAAAACTCTCGCGAAGCTGAACCACAGGTCCAGTAAAGCATTTTGCGCGTTCGCTTATGCCAACGACGGATGATTCCCCTGATCTCCTTCGCAAAAGGTGTTAGGAGTTCAAGAAAAGACAAGCAGGATAAGGATAACCCTGCCCTGGCTTTCATCCATCAAAGTGATGATACACTTCTACTAGACCGTCAAGCGAAGGTTCTCTAGCGTCACTGCCGAGGCCGAGACCCACGTCGTCCTTTCACGACAGCGATGTCCAGAATGAGCACAACCGACAGCAAACAAGCACGACGTCCAAGCTTGAAGCAGGAATCACGACCCCTCCACAAGTCTTTTTGAGGGGTGAAGGCGGCCTTTTTAAACGGACTGGTCCGCAGACCGACTAGTGAGCCCCAAACCTGGATTGGCCAGGTTCGCTTATATGTTTCTGAATGCTTGACTTACTTGCGGACCGGAAGTACGGAGGTCGAGACACGTCGACCAACACTTTGCCTGCTCCCAAATTTCAAAGCAGCACCTAAAGGATGAATTGCGGTAACCTTGTTGTCCATCAGATCTGAAGGATGAGCAAATCGTATACATCAATCCCACAATACTGACCAACGGCGCTTAGGTCAAGAAGTCTCAGCTGAGAGTGTACAGCAGCAGGCAACGGACGTCAGCATGACTCACTGGGGTCGTCCCTCCGTAGTGACGCGCGCGCCTGCACCAGCGCCGCCTTCGCCGCCGCGTCCATGACGGACGTCAGCGTCTCCCGGACGTCCGAATCGGCAATGCCGAACGCCGTCGAGAGGCGGTGCAGCAAAGCTCGGCCCTCCAGCACCAGTTGCCCTGGGTTCACTGCACACGACATGGAGCCATATTCTCTCAAGTTCGCTGAACACGGCACCAGTCTGAGCATGGACACCGAAGGCTGTCGGAATGGCCGTGAATACTAAAGAACGTTCATACGTGCACTGCCACTCCGAGGCCACAGATACTGTATGAGCGGGGACAAACAGAATCGGTACAGGAAAGAAGCTGAGGCTGGGGCCTGTCGAATTTGGAGTTATTTCAACCCAAAGGTAAACTCCTCCGGTTCTGAAGCGTCGGAACTCGAGAGACGCTGCTATCGGACGGCTCACGTGTACAAGGTTCAGCAATCCGAGATAGAGTTTTCAAGTCCATTCGAGCCGTCCGATGTTGGGGTGCTGACAATCGGACGGCGCATAGTAGACAAAGCAGACAGGGGTGACGTCGCTATCGAGGTGTCAACAGGGCCCGGCCTTAGCTTCCGTCCTGTAGCCTTCTCCTTGTCTCCGCTCTGTATGCAGGGGCGGATGTCCAGGATGCATTTTACCACAGACAAGATTGCGTCCATGATCGCATTTCTGCGCCCACCTGCGCGCGCGCTGCCCTCCTCCAGCACTGTCTGCGCCGCGCGCCGGTACAGCACGAGCGCGTCGCGGCTGTCGACCTGCGCCACGCGGACCACGCCCAGGTTCTCGCACATGCTCGCGAGCAGCCGCACGTCCGCTGACGTCACGTCGCGGCCCCGGGCCCTGCGGAATGGCGGGCATCCCGTCAGCTTCCGAAGGGTGGTGATTAGAGAGCAACTTTCAATTGTTTGAAGCCCAAACATCGGGAGCTTATTGACACGCATTTCGCTGCAGACTGAGCCTCATCAGGAAAGGACGAAACACCCAGAACTGCAAAGACTGCTCGCTTGAAGAATGAGACGATCTCAGCGTGGCAAGCCATGACTGCCTAACACTTTTGTAGAGGCCCGCAACGTGTTGGGACACTGCTGGCAAAACGCTCGCAATGCAAGCGACTCAAGGTTCCCTTCGCCTGCAGAGGAGCTTTTGACGCGCTTCAATCTGACGGAATCTTCAGCTCACACTCAGACGTCCGTCAAGCAGAGTTAAAACTTATCCAAAACCACGCAATTCCCCGACCCATCGCGAGACCCTGCTCAAAGCCCCGTATGCAAGAGCCTCCGACCTTCCGACACAGCCACCGCAAAACAACGCCCACCTTTTGTCCAAAAGCTTCTTGGCTGCCGCGCCAATGCGCACCGCGGCCGCGTCCTGCTCGATCCGCTGCGCTTCGGGAGCCCCCAGGCCGAGCGCTGCGCGCGCTCGGTCCAGCTGGCGCCGTGACTCGCTGGTGACGTAAGCGTCCGCCATGGCCTTCTTGGAGAGCTCGGCGTACGTGGACGCGGCGGCAGACCGTTGGAGGGCACCTGAAGAGTTTGAAAACAAGACTCAGGAACGAGTTGAATGGTTAAGGATGATCTGGGAGATCTGTGATGGTACTCAAAGCGCCCTTTTCGGTGCTCTAGTCTCTTTGTTGAGATCGATGTGGAGAGGCTTTCAAATGCTTGTAATACTTGGCTTCGACGTTGCTTGAAACTGGGGACGCCACAGGACGACTGGCTGCCATCAAGTCCCGAAGCTAAAGTTAACCGTTGCAGAAAGGCCATCCAATCGAGCCTCTACCGACACACTCTCATCACTTCTGTGCTGAACGAGACCCATCGAGAAGTGTCTTATGTTACAACCAGGCTGGGTCAACGAAGAGTCGCAGAATCTCTTGCTGACCAGTGACCGGCGCTGCGACTCCCAGCAGCCCGGCCAGCACGTCCCGGCTGGTCGCCTCCTCTTGCTCCACCGCCGCCCGTCCCTCACCGTCCGATTCTCCTTCCCGACCGTCCAAATCCAGCACCCGGGCCGCTCGCTGCTTACACGCGTTTTCCAAGAACGCGCTCAGCAGCGTCTCGGCGCCCCCGCCAAACACCAGCAACCGCAGGTCCCGCACGGAAGCTCGGGTACTGTCCGGCGCAACGTCCGGCACTCTCTCGGACACCGTCGATGGCGCCACGAGCGCCCTTCCGGACGCCCCGGGTGCGCTTTGCGGCACTTCCATAACACTTCTAGACGTACTCGGTACCCTTTCGGACGGCCGAGGTACGCTTTCCGTTGCCCCAGGCTCAGTTCCGGACGCCCCAACAACACTTTCGGACAAGCTCTCCCCCGGTGCGGACGCGATGTCCAGGGCAGGAAGGGCTGCCTCCCGCGCGAAACGCACCATGTTGTCGAGCTCCGCAGCCACGGGGGTGACGAGCCCCCCGCTCCGCCGCTGCGCCTCGAGCGCCTTTTGCAGCATCTCCTGGAGCACTCCCCGGCAGGCTGCGGCTGCCGCAGAGCGCGCCGAGGGGGGGGCCAGACCCAGCTGGAACCGCCAGTCAGCCAGCTCCTGTATAACGAAACAAGCGTAGATTCTTTTACCAGTAGCTTTTGATAATTCCAGGCTAGACGAGAAGAGACTTGCCACGACACAGCATCTTTTGAGAGCAGATGTTCTATAGCGCTTGACAATTTTAGCTGGGTTTCCAAAGTCGGAGGGAACGGCAGCCACACGTGCCCTCTCGTAGTCAAGCCAAAAGTCGGGTGCACCCTCGGACCCTCACCCTGGGACCTGCTTTGAAAGCAATGGTTACCAAAATCTTCTACAAGCTCGCAGTACCCCAGAGGCCCCTTTCAAAAAGATGTCGCTCCGCGCCAAACCTCTGATTATTTTCGAACTCACCCGCCGTTGCTCTGAAGTGAGAGCCCAGTCCACGCTCCGCCCCGACGGGCCCCCTCTCGACTCCCGCAAATCCGCCAGCACTCTGCTCACGAGCCGCCGGTACGACCCCACCGCCTCCGCCCTTTGCTGCGCCTCCTCTGCCACGTGGCCGGCCAGCATCAGCTCCGCCCGCAGCCGCTCGAAGCGGGGGATCCCCCAATCCTCGCTCTCGAGCGCCGCTGACGTCAGCACGTCCCGGAAGGCGCTTTGGTGGGCGGCGTCGCGTGCGGAGGAGGGGAGTTCGAGGAAGGCCTGGAGGGTTTGGAGGTGGGGGTGGGGCCCCGGGGGGGAACTAGAGGGGGCGGGGTCGAGGAGGCGGGAGGCGGCGGCGCCCAAGTACGCGGCGGTGCTGCCGGGAGCGGCAGGTTCCGTAATTGCCTGCTCGAAAAGGCGAGGAAAGGCACTGCGGTCTCAGTTTTGCCACTTGCTCGCTCTCTTTCAGCATATTATAAATGGTCACGGCTGAACATCTACGAGTCCTGGAATGCCCTGCACTTCAGTGGAGGAGGCGCCGACAGGCAAAACTAAGTGAAATCTCGAAACAGATGCTTCGGGGAAGGCTGGCCGGCGAGACACTGGCGGGCACGACAGGCGCACCGGAAACGAAGACAACCAGGCGGAGAAGGCTCCTCGCACCTCCCCTGTGAAGCACCTCTTCCGCCTCCTTCTCAGCTCCCGAGCAGCCCAGCCGGGCACACCCTTTCTAAAGACTCCCGCACTCTCGAGCAACCCGGCGAAAAGCTCGTTCCTGATCATCTTACAGACATCACAGAAATTTGAGAAACAGAATCCGATTCACACCATAGTCTCAACCAGGCACGCAAAACAAGGATCATCCTTGCAGCCCAAGAAGGGCCCCCATTCTAGTCCGCCTCACCTCCGGCACTACCACGTGCTTCACATACGCGCTGTAGAGATTTGCCCGTTCCCCATCGGTGATGCTCTCCGACCGGGAATCGCCTGCCAGGCGGTCCCAGGTCCAGCCCTCGGGAGGCGCTTCTGCGAGCCACTGCTGCAGGACCTTTGCGGCGCCCGCCTGAAAAAGCCGAGCAATCGAATGCGGGCTTCATTTAGTGGATCGAGTAGTTGTGCTGGATTAGACCTAGATAAGAGTGTGGCGGACTCAACGTGTGTTGTAGGTGTCTGTATCGTAGACCATCCGACAGCCTAGGCAGTCACGTCTTCTAGCTTCGACGCGTTGCCTCCCACAAACTATCACGTCGCTCATTCTTGTGTACTTCTAAAACTATAGAAGACTAATGTAACACCTGCCGGCACATCATATATTATGCTCTATCAAACAGAGAATCGAGTCTCGATGCATTGACAGTGCAGTCATACTTCGATACATCGTCAGCGGAGTGGCTCACGGGCCCTACCTGGTCGTTTTGCCGGACGAAGTCGAGTGCTCGGAGCACTTTCTTTGAGGGCGTGCGAACAACTTGCTTCTCCTCCTGTTTCGCGGCAGGGGGCTCCTCTTGCGCCCGGATTTCGGGCCAGGGGGCTCGCTTGCCGGCGGCGTCGTGCTCGTAGCTCATCTCAAATGCCCCGTCTGCATGAAGAACGGAGAAGAGTGTGTCAGTGCTCTTATTGAGGGCTGCAAGTCGGCGCCTTTCGGGACAGCAATCCTTCTCGTCATTGACATGAGGTGAAGTATTGCGTCTCGGACCTCACGAAACGATGGGCGAACTATCAACTTAAAATCAGGGACGTAGTCCAAACCAGGAGCGTTGCCAAGATCGCCGCGAAGTGCCAATCTCAATCAAGACTGCTCTTGCTGATGCTGCATTATGACTCGGACCTGAAAAGATAATCTCCAAATTTTGGTCAAGTGTCAACGCAAGCGACTAATGACATCGGATCACAGCATAAGACAAAGCCGCTCCCGCACAATGGCCCGGTCTACATATCCACAGGAGGATAACTTCCAACACTCCTAGTGCTGACTCCAACTGTACAGACCCCGCCTCAGGTCCCCGGAACAAAGTATTCACCGTGGCTCACCCTGTATTTTCCACTCCACCTGCCGCAGCTGCGCCAGTACCTCCCTTGCCTTTGCAATTCTCTCATCGATCTCTTGGAGCGACCCCCCAGCTGCGCTTCGTTCCGTCGCAGGATCCCGGCCCTCCAGTTTCTCAACCCGGTCCGACTCGAGCACCGCCAATTTGAGCTCCACTTCAGCGATCTGCCGCCGGACCTCTTGGCGATACAAATCTGCTGTGGGCCGCAGGTCGGGGTTTGGCGGAGAAGAGGACGTACTGGGCTCGCCCGGGGATCCCCTGGAGAAGTGAGAACAAACTTTCCGTTGCGACTTTTGAATAATTGACTCATACGAAACGCAGGTCATGCACACAGCGAAGACTGGACCTCTCTTTCTTGGAAGGAAGGAAGATCTGAAAGCGCGTAATCGTTTGACCTACAATCAGAATGGATTGATGAATCTTGGAGGAAGAAAGAAGAAGCATGCCCTGGCTCTAAGGATGGAGGTACGGGTACTAACGACTCTATTCCCTGGACCACTTTCTCATTTCGAAAGGATCCTCTGTGTCCATTTAAACGGGGATACTTGCCTATTCCGAGAAAGCATGTGACCTGGCCTCGTTTGCCTTTGCACCTCACCAAGAATTTAAAGAAGTCCAGATTAACAGTCGCACCTGTCTGCCGTGGCGGCGGGGCTTTGTGTGTACATACGCTCCAGCGTCGTCCGCTCCATGTCCAAAAACCTGGTGTCCAAATCCTCTGCATCCGTGCTCTCCTCCACCAGGCTAGCGACGTCCTGCGCTGCAGCCTCCTCTTTCTCGAGCGAGGCGGGGGGAGCTGGCAATGGCTGCACAATCGTCACTTTTGGAGGGGCTGGCGTGGCGGGCTGGTCTGCGGCCCGCTTGACTGAGGAGAGGGCCGCTATGTACAGGGCCTCCTTACGCGAGATCACCTGTCAAGGGAAAGCGTGTTTCCGAGTTGCCCTGTGCTGATGGCAAAGAGAATCTTTGCTAAAGTACATCGGAGACCCCGTTCTTTTCTAAAGTAGACAACTGATGGGAGTAAACCATTGGCATCTATATGAACCGGGACCGGTCGACTAGAGTCGCCTCAGTTGTCACATCACAGTAGAACACCCCCGCGCTCTTAACAAGCAGCCAAAACATCCTCAATGTCGGTGATCTGGATTCAACAGTGATCAACTTCAACACTCCCAGACTGCCCTATGTGGCAGCGCAAGTTTTGCCGCGCAGAAAGACAGGAACGGACAATCTGCCCTTACCTTCCCCAGCTGGGTTGCGAGCGCCTGCAGCACCTCTGCCCGCTGCTGCGACTTATCCAGTGCCTGCAGCACAGATGCTTTCTCCTCCAGGAGCCGCCTTGCCCCTGCCTCGTCCCCCGCCCGCACCGCTTTCTCTGCTGCACCACGCTTTTTCTCCACAGCGTCGGTCAGGCGCATGAACCGGTCGCGCGCAGCATTGGCTGCAGGGGTAGATTCGAATCGCGATCTTAAGTTTGCACACCCAAACAATTGTCCCATGCAGCACGGGGAGTGCGAAGATGTTAACATTGGCAGGTTTAAATGACCAAGTATTATCTAGCCTTGAACATCATGATTGAAAGCCCAAGGTAGAAGAAAAAAACAAACCTCATCATGGTGCAATATAGGAAAGAGTCGAGCACATGTCTAAACCTTTCGACACACACCAGAACATGGACTAGATAACCCTGCCAACAACTTTTTGCCCAACAATATGTACTTAGTGCCACCAGTGACTCACCTTTACTCCGCGTCTCATCCAGCTCCGCTTGCAGCGCCTCTAGCTCCGCCCTCATCTTGTCCAGCTCGCTCGGCGTCCTGGGCGCCACCCCCCCACTCTCCCCTGACTCCTCGCTGTCCCCCCCCCCACCCGCAACCGCCGCTGCACATCTTACTTCCGTCCTGCGTTGCTGGCCGCGGAAGGACAGGCTACACTGGTTGTCGCCACACTTTCTGAGACCTATGTTTTGGACACCATTGCAAAGAGGATTCTCTCTGCACAAGAAATCTGCCGTCAGTATTGACTTAGGCAGGCGAGAAAGCAGAGGAGCACATGAAGCTCGGGTCGCTTGTTGTGAAAGCCTGCGCTGCTGATGTGAACATCTTGAAGTGGCTTGACAGCCGAGTCTGCTAGTAGCATTGACAAAAGTTGAGGCAGCCATGGCGCCTAACATTTGCCACAGCCAGCAACCCTTTCAGCTCCTGTTCTGCAAGTAGGAAATTGCAAGCACCAATGGGTTCACGTACTACAGCATACTCAGAAGATGCAGACGCCCTCTTCGCTTGTACTAGCTAGTAGGGTGCTTGAAAGAAGAAAGGGCCGCCAAGTTAGGGAAGTCTGCAGTCTTGAGATCAAAACGTCACGACGCACACCTGTGCTGGCCCAGCCCTGCAAGTTCAACAGCCGCAGCATGCAGCTCGAGTCAAGACAAGAGATCGATCAGCGCTAGCGCGCCGTGTGCGCCACGACAAGCCGTTCAAAATCGCACTAGGGGGTTGCGCAACCAATGGGCAGTGAAACCGTCACATCGGGCGTCGCTAGAGCCTTGGGTCTACCAACCACAAAACCAATATCAGATCCAGAGTTCTTGCTGCAGCCGTTCTTTGGGACGGTTGCATGAGACGTCATCGATTGGACACCCCCCCTTGGAGACCCGCTCAATTGCGGCCGCGTCGGACGCGTGCGCGCGCACGAATACGGCTAGAACTTGGACCGGACTGCACGCCATGGCGCACAACGCTACAGAGTAGTCCTACACTGACAGACGACTTCAACCAACGTGCATTGAACTGCATTGCACTCCCTGTTGTTCAGCAAATCGATTCACTTAGTAGCGCATTGATGCTGTCATTCATGAGTTGCAAAGCTAATAGTCAAGCTGGGGGGTCGACAGTGTGAAGATTATGCTTTTCGGATGCGATACGATTAGTAGCCCTGGAGTCCTTTGGAGTGAGCGCTAATTACTTGACTGGCCTAATTGGAGGCAAGATGCACATGCATGCTAGGAGTTGCTCCCTACAAGCGGCAGCAATCAAGGTCAATAGCTAACAGCTGTCTGCCATGCAACTCAGCCGCAAACTCATCATTCAAGTCAGCTAGTAAATCAAGACGCAAAGGCTGTGTATGGCATTCGTGCGGGCCTGTCACAAACGTTTCTTGGGTGTCCGAAGTAGCCGCCTTTCAGAAGCGCCTTACTTTGTTTGCCTTATCGTCAACGTCAGCTTCACAGTTTTTAGGTGGAAACCGCACCATTGATTCTCCGCTCCAAATGTGGCTTCACAAGGAGACTTAACACGTCGTTGCAACATATCTGAAGTTCAAGGGAACCAAGCCGCATGATCTGCTCACTACAACTATACCTGAACAGGTATCAGCTCCTACTCGTCACTCCTCTGCCTCTTTGCTCTACCCCTACCGAAGCAGTGCTCTTTGCTTCTACCCCTACCGAAGAAGTTCCAAGAAGACGAAAGCGTTCCACATGCTGTGCAGCACCATGCACGCCAGCAGGTTCCTACTCCGGACAAAGATGACGCCCATAACTATGCCCAGGAACGACAACGGCAACAGCCGCTGCAGACTGAAGTGCGCCAGCGCGAACACGAGTGCGCTCACGGATACCGACCCCCACATCGGCATGTACCGGGTCAAGCTCGCGAGCAGAAACCCTCGGAAGATGATCTCCTCCCAGATGGGCGCGCACACGCTCACGACCACGACGTACAGCAGGTTTGCGATTGGGTCCTTGGCGCTCAGGCTCTGCTCGATGGGGGATCCCCCCGGGAAGCTCCCCGGGAGGGGCAGCAGCTCCGTGTTGATCTGACTCAGCATGTTGACGATCGGAAACAGTAAGCACCCGGCCGCCGTGTCGAGAATCCAGAACCCGGCGCTCCACTTGAAGGGGAAGAACCAAAACCAACCCGCAGCGACATGGGGACGGAAGCGCGCCAGGCAGCGCATGAGGATGCCCAGCCCCACGAGCATTTCCGCTAAGTCGGTGACGAGGCTGTAGACGGCCTGCCCACGGTACGTGAACGAGGAGCGGTTGAAGCCGAGGGCGTGCGCGGCGGCGGGGACCCCCCACGAGCCCACCAGCCAGAAGGCGGCGAACCACAGGAACATGACCTGGAGGCAAGGAAAAAGGACTTCGCGTCACCGCAGTTGAGAGATGAACCGATAAATGAAGCGGTGATTTTATCAAGAGGAGTACTTCGACGACAAGTTTCTCGTGTTCCTTCCTTTAATCGATGAAGCAGACCGCTGATGTAAGGGACTATGAAACGGAGTGAAGTACTGTGTACAGGGTGCAACCTATACTCAATTGAGGCCACTGCCATTTGCAGGCACTTTGCATCAGGTTCGTTTTAAGGACTCGGTAGACCTTCTTGATTGCCACTCTTTACGAAAGAAGCTTCAACACGCCTGTTAAGAGATCAACAGAGGCATCCTTCCAACAAAAGAGTAGCTTCACTCCAGGCTTCCAAGATCAAAGCATTTGGTGGGCCACAATAGAACTTCTATGGAGGACCGTTGCAAGTGCAGCAGCGTCTAGACAAACCGAGACCCCAAACCATCGCAACTTGGCACAAGGTGATGAGTGCGCCAGCCGAGGCTCTCACCTGGACGATGGTGGCCCCCGTCCATGGCACCTTCCATACCTTCTCCTCCTCATTTTCCATTCCGAATATGCAGAGGTACCAACTACCCTGCGGAAACAACATTCCGAGTGTTCTCAGAACAAAGGAATTGTCAAGTAAAAAATTGACAGCCTGCTGCATGATGCTCTAAAGGTGCCACCACTTCACAACAGCATCATGCTCTAATCCTGAAATGACGTCCAGGCAAGCCTTCCACTTTCGAAAGCAAGCAGCCCGTTCCATCATAGAGCAGACCAGATTTGCAGCTTACTTTTCTTTGGGACGTGTCTCCCGTAGCCGCTGGCTTCTCCCCCTCTCCCCCGCGAGTCGTTTCTACGGGGTCCGACTGCCCCTGCGTCTCCCCTTGCATCCCTCTTCCGGTCCCTCTTCCCCAGTAGCTGTTGTTGCTACTCTCATCGCTGTCGGCTACAAACTCACCCCCATCGGCTGTGCTGAAGGAACCCAAGGCAGTTGGTGACCGAAAGCCACCTCGGTTTGGCATGTGCTGATGAATGGACGTGGCTATACTTGAGCCGGCTGCTATTGTCCCCCAAGGAGTAGACCGGTGCCTTTTTAAGCCCTTCGATTGCGGTGCTAGAGAAAGCTTCCCCGAGAAGCTCTCTCCCGGCCCAACGCGCGCCTGCCGCCTTACGCTTTTCCCCAGCGCCGCAACTTTGCATCGCCGAGGGGCAAAGCATTCAAAGAAGCGGGCTGATGAGGGAAGTGTGTGCGCAGCACCGGGGTCTCTAGAGGCCACCTGGGCGGGGCCAGCCATGTGCAGGGGTGTTGTGGCGAGGACCGGCGTGCTTTCAGCAACCTGAGAGTTGAGAAACGAAAGTATGTGTGAGCACTAAACAACAGCTTTCTACTTTGTTCTGACCTCACATAGACCAATTCAAGGCCGCTTTTCAAAGTAGATGGAAGAGGAGCACAGGTGGCTTTGAATGATAGACCCTACTTTTTGTCGTTGATTTCTCTTTATTACAACCCCCTCCTTTCCTGCCAAAGAAGCCGATGGCTGGAGATGCGCCTGTGCAATTGTCTGATGCCACCAATACGAGCTTGCCGAGCATCTGCTCAGTGTTGAGAGACCTAGAAGCACCGTTGACAATCCATATGCTGACATACCTTCTCCTCCATTGCAGTGCAAGCCGCCTTCAACCCAGCACCCTCGGAATCAACCAGGCTGGTTGTAAAGAAACGGTGGTTGTGGGCCATAGACGCTGCACAGAATACATGGCCTTTGAGCAAAAGCTAATCGACTTATTTCAGATATCATCCGATACTTCGAGTAGACCAGAAAGGACAGACCCCTCCGGAGAAAAAGGAAACCCCATGCTACCAGCTTGTACGGAACTCAAGAACACCATCCAAAAATCTGCTGCAAGCCGTTGCTATAAACCTGTAACTGCTATGCCCACCACACGATGGTGGAAGCGCCTAGCAAATCAGAGATGGCAGCGACGTAAAACCACCAATCAAGCACGGGGACAGCTTTTCAGCTCCCAGACTAAGTCGCTTACCCGTCCTCGCAGACTCGCCTAGCTCTGGTTGCAACCCTTGCACTTTGCTAAGATGGCACACCTTCTGCGTCCTGCTTTCGACGCCACCATCGCGAACTGGGGAAGGTCCTGAAACCTGGCATCTCGGTTGCATTGCAAGTGCCAGCGCAGGATCAAATGACTGTTTCAGAAGCAGACTCGCCAAGCGGCCGCTCAGCTCTCTGAGCACTAAGGCCTGATTTGAGCTCTGAGTAGGGTTTGGAGCAAGGTTTCGCGTCGAAACCTTTCTTCGTGCTCGAGAGAGAGTCTTCCGGATTTCTGAAGATGCAAAAAGACCCTCGTTGTATCGTGTTAGCCCTCTCTGATAGGTGTGCATCTTTGATGGAACCTCCAAGCACTCAAAACTTGAGCCGGCAATGGTGCACCCTGATTGTGCCATGCTCTTCATCATTCTGTGTGTGTTCAACCCCAACCCCCTGGCAAGCCAAAATTGTGGAGGCTCTCTACCAACAATTCATCTAACAAACCCAGGTCATTCACATGTCTTTTAAACAGGACACATAGGGGACACATAGACGAGACGAGAAGGCGGCCCTTCACGAGTCTAAGCCATGGGGCGCAGCCTCCTTTCCACTGCTGCACCAGTGCCAGAAAACAATTGAAATGGCTGACAATTGATGAAACTCGAAAGAATGCACGCACAATGTCCCCTTCCAAAAGCGCTGGCAGTACTGATAACAGAGACAAATTCACATCCCCACTTTGGGCAAAATCCGGAAGCACGTAAGACGCAAAGCATTGCCTTATGCCTGTCATGGCAGGGGCTCCGGATGTAACCATCTGAACAACCGTCGAAAGGCGTCAACAGCGAAACTAGGGAAGAGACAAGCCGCATGCTAGTACTACTAGCGTCCGGACGGTTATTAGCGGCACCTGGCGTTCTTTGAAACGCGGGCTGCCGATTGTGCAGCTATATATTCATCAAATATACTGCCTACATATTGCCGTATTATTGAATACGGTATGCAGCCAGTGCTTTCAATGTCATTGTTCAAGAAGGTTGCTGGAATCTTGCAAGTTGCAAGCTCTTCGTTTCTTCCGAAAGTTTCAACTTCCAAACCCGGGCCCAAGCAAAGCAAGGGCCAAGCTAAAGTGCACATCTATCAAAGCACAACCAACATTTTTCCTTTGACCCCTTTGAAAGCTTGCAAGAAGTAGCAAGAGACCTCAGCATTTGCAGCTGGCCGTAAGCGGACTCGCTTCCATTAAATTGTACTTTTTGAACGACCCAATCGAAATGGAGTTCAGAGCATCATATCATGGCTTCGTGGACAGCTTCGAATGGCATTTTGGAGAGACGGGCGGTTCATCTCTGCCTTTCTTAGCGACCTCCATCGTAGGCTACTTGACTGTCATATTCACTCTGCAACTTCTGCTGAGACAGCGGAAAACTGCGGTGCCATTGGGGAACCTTCCAGCAATCCACAATCTCATTCTGTGCTTAGGCTCGCTGATTATGTTCCTAGGAGCTTTAGAAGCAACCATTAGTAGTCAACTCCTGTGGCTAAGGCAGGGGAGCAGCAAGAGTACTTATTTAACAGCAGAGACGGGCTACCGTTGGTTACTTTGTTTCCCTGAGGACACGTTACCACGAGGGAGGATATTTTTCTGGTCGTACATATATTACTTGAGCAAATTTTATGAGCTCCTTGACACCGTCATCCTCGTCCTGAAGAAGAAGCCGCTGAGCTTTCTCCACGTCTACCACCATTCCTTGGTCGTCGTCATGTGCTGGCTTTGGTTGCAGGTAAGGCACCAAATGTTGTAGCAGAAGTTACATCGGCACTCTGTCTTGAATGCATCATTTGCTAGTCTGAGTGTCGGATCATGCAGTAATGAGATACGTTCAGGTGATGATCAAGGAGCAAACGATGTACTCAGGAAGTGTGATATAGTGATTGTGGAGAACGTGATGAACTGGCTGATCTTCCTCGTATCTTGTGACGAGTACCTCCATTCGGCTGCGCACAACACAGCGAAAAGCTGTTCTTTGGCATGATTGGAAAGTGCTCCTCTGATCTTATCTACTTAGTGTCTCCCCAACCAGGCCCCTTCATTTTCTCCTTTGCAGTACTCGCAGTCCCTCCAGACCATTGGTCTGCTGACGAATACAGGCATCCATGTCATCATGTACTGGTACTACTTCATGCACTCAATTGGCCACCCTCCTCCCTGGCGGAAATTTGTCACCAATGGTCAAATTGTACAGTTCCTGTTTAGCTTCACGGTGTCCATCCCCTTCGTTTACCTTCACGTAAAAGAAAGTTGCGCTGGCTTCTATGCCTGGCTCTACAATGCTTCATTCAACTTTACGTTGTTGCTATTATTCTTCAATTTCCACAGAAGGCAATACAGCAGCAGGACCAAAGTTGCTAAAAACGCGGATTAAGCCCTGTAACTTGTTCTTTTGTGGATCTTGTACTGATCAACGAACAGAAGACGGTTTCGCAAAGCTTGACACAGTCTGTAACTTATTGGTGAGGAGGCAGGCAACATCTGATTCTTCATAGCTTCCGAGGACTTGCCCAGATATGGTAGACGCTTTGCACGTTGAAGTGGTTCGCAATTTGAAAAGCAGTCTGATTGTCTTACTCAAACGTCCCAAGAACGGAGAGGGCGGAATTGCCAGCATGCATATATATGGTTATACTATCAAGGCCGTTTCTATCAATCAACTTCTGTCACTGCGGCAAGACTGGACGATCAATTCTCACACATATGCCTAGCTACGCTGCAACTTAACCAAACATGATAATATCTGGCATACTAGCTAGGCCGTCAATTGCTGACCTGACTAAGCGCTAGTAATTGTCGACCTTCCGACTGCTGCAACCCGCGCGCGAAACGTCTGTGCTATAATTCAGCTAGCTGCCATGTTGAATCATAGATATAGTTCAATCATGTGCACGTACATGATTGCATGTATTAGGCCGGCAATTGTATATGAAGCTCAGTACAAGTACACAGCCGAGTCCGCCCCTTAAAACCGCGATCTAAGCGCAGTCAGTTGCATGCACGCACTTGACCATATCGCTTCGGGTCTGGTTATTGGCACACGGCGCTCTGATCAGCCTATATCTACGCAGGGTGGTCGCCCAACAATCAGCTCGCAAATACGTTTTTCAAAATGCACACCATGCTCGATCTGACGCAGCATACTGAGCACGTCTGGCTATAGCTCTACGGCCTTGATTTGCACTGCAGCTGCATATGCGTAAGCGGCTTCAGTAAGCGGAGATTTTGGCGCTCAAGCATGACAATTGAAGCCTTAGCCAACGTCCATGAGGAAGCGATCGTCTGGTTTTGAGTGCGTCACACTACCTGCAAAAGGGAAACGTGTTGGATCAGCTTCCTTTAGAAGCACACGGCTTTCCATACCCCCATAAAAGCAGAACGCAAAAAAAGGGGCAAATCATTGGAGAGGGTCTCACTGGATAAGGAACTTCACCGCCTGCGCGTCTGCCTTCTACACTGCTTCCTCCGACTATGACACGAAGGTTTGCCTTGCCAGCACAACAGATTGCGTGGCCAGTAGCGGCAAATCGCGGGCACACGCGTGTATGAAGTCGAGCGCCCGCACTGTCTCCGGCCTTGCAATGCTTCTCTGCGTCTGACTCTAACACACGACCAGATCAGCTTCAAGCGCATAGCCTACCTTCATTCAAGATGCTCGTTCCGCCCCCGGCACTGGCGTCGTGAACCTCCGAGCTGCTCAAGTAAAGACCCCCGGCCGCAATGGCATACGGAAAGGCCAAAGAGGGAGCCATCGGGGATTTCGCGATCCGGATGTATCGCTGACCTGCGGGTAGGCGCAGTGCATCCATTCACACGCTGCTCCGTTTCTGAGCGGATTCTCAGGCCAAGCGTTCTGCTCTTTCGCCCTGCCGCACGAAGGCGGTTTTGGAGGGAGTACTCATACATAGAACGAATCGTACGCGATCTCAAGCGGCACAATGGCAAAGCGGCGGGCTTTTTGGATCATAGAACAAAACCCGATCGAGTACAAACTGCAGGCAGCGCTGCAGAATGTCGAACTAAATCTCAACAACTCTCGCAAGAGCCCCAGTTGACGCATCACTCGCCTGCGTGACGCTCGAGCACGAGCCTGGTGTTGACAGCGTGCGCCCACTTGGTCCCCAATGCGGCAGTCACTGTCGACGAGTCGTAAGTGGAGTCTTCGTAGCCTGGGCTCGGCCGTAGCTTCTTCCGCTCATGCTCTGAAAGAAGACGAGTACAGACATGATTGTGACTTCTCTTTTGGTTTTGGGTGTTAGCTTGAGGGCAGGTCGGCAGTTTAAAGCACAGGGATGCGGCGCCGATCTTCGTTTGTAGCTGCTGCAGCATCCGCCAGGGTGTATTCGAGGAAGCTCAGAGATGCATTCTGAAGCATGTAAGGATGGCACGAAAACCAAAATCAAGCGAGCGGTGATGAAAGCGTACCCACAAAACCGTAGTTCGGCTGCTGGCTTGGTGCCCCCATCTGGGCCATGACCTGGTTCGTTACGACAACGGGGATGCGGAAGGTCTCGGCGAGGTACCTGGAAGCAAAGCGGGGGGAGGATTCAAGGAAGAGACGAACAACAGAGGAACCGTTCCTTCAAGGCAGCGCAGAACGGGTTCGCGGTGAAAAGCGGTTGCTGGACAGCAGCTCAGACGAGGCTGGTCGGCTGACCAAGGTACTGTTGGTACTGAGGGCTGACTCAAGCCGTCTCAAGGTGGTTGTCTACTCTCTTCGTAAGATCATCTCAAAGCAGCCGTTCTTTGTCAAGGACTCATCAGAGTGTTGACAGCGAACGAAAACGATGAGGTCACCAAACGGTCTTAAGGCGGGCTCGCTGCTTACTTGAGTAGGGCTGCTTGGCGGCCAAGGAGATCCTGCCTTTGCTGGAGCTGGTCATGACCGTACTCACTGCAGCAAATACACACGGATTCAGCAGCAGAATAGCGCGCGCTTCTGAAATGATTCGACGCAACGGTTCTTAGGAACTTCCATGCAGGAATTAAGATTCCATCGCGCATAGTCGTCAGCGATCGCTTCTCAAAACAGCCGTACCTACACATACGATGATGGACAGAGGGGCTCGCGCGATCGTTGAAAAGCGCGCAGAATGTTTATGGGTTGCCTCAGGAACGGACGTCAGGCACTCGCCTTCTTACCAACGCTGCCACCGAGTCCAGGACGATGAGTTTCGCCTTCTCTCGGATCATGGCTTCCTCCAGCTTTTGCAACCTGCCACGCAAAAACTGGACTTCGAAACTTCTAACAGATTGTCAGAAACTACCGTGAGTTCAGAACATCTGTATGAAGCCAAGTAAGGCAAAACCCAACGTATTAGAGGTAAGGTGGCGCTGACGACGTTGTTCTTTCAATTCTGTGAACTTCAGGATTGGCGTTCAAAGAGAATGCAAGATTGTTGCTCAAAGAAGGATTCAATCCAGGTTTGCCCTTGAATCAAAGAAAGGTCTGACTGATTACCTCGTCAACAGGTCAATTGCTGAGTTGGGCCGCAAAACGAGAACCCTCGAAGTCAGCTGCAAGCGCAACTGACAGTTCAGATGCCACACCAGGTGAATAGCAGACTCTCAAGGACACGAGGTGGTTCTTTCTAGCTGAACACATTGATCCGCTTCACACGTCCGACCGGATCTACAACTGTGGCAAGAAGGTAGCCAATCAACAGGTACCGATCTCGATGAAAAGACCCCTGGTTAGCACGACAGGGAAGTGTGTCATCTTTGGAGGGAGACGCTTGCAGTGCTTACATGCTGCACGGCTTGTTCATCCGGAAAGGAGTCGGGCAGACGCATGGTTGCAATCTCAATGAGCCTGCAAAAAGGTCGAAGATATTAATGTGCAGTTTCCGGATACCTATTCTCTACATCAAGAATGCGCTATACAGTCGATCGACAGAGGAAAGCGAGTCAAAACAGAAGAAGCAGCGGACGGCCCCTGAAGGCCACAGCCGGGCGTCAAAACGGCGGAACTATCCATGTGGCTGGAGGCTTCTAAAGGAGCGAAGTATCCCTGCTGGTGGCGTACCTTTTAGCGCTGAACTTATTCTCGGTGTCAATGTACACGCATTTGCCGTCCAGGCCACCAATGTCAGTGGGGAGCGTTGCAAATATGGAAAGCATCAAACACAACTGGGTCTTGCCAACACCTGCAGGTCAAGACTACGAGGTTTGAACAATAGAGATGGCGCTGTCCTCTGTATCAAAAATAACGCATATGCATTTTGGTGTTGGAGCTGGGGCAAATGAGCTAGTCGACGGCTCCAACTTGGATGGTGGCAATATAAAGCGTGAGGTGACAAACAATCCTTGGCTCCAAAGTAGAGCCTCGAGAAATGTGCAATGTATTGATTGGACGTTTTGAAAGGAGCAATCAGGGATAAGAGACACAGATAAGTTCAAATGCTACCCACAGTAGAGTCATTGTACTTCACCTGCAGGCCCAACCAGCTCTGTGATGCTGCCTAGTGGGACACCGCCCCTCAGAGCGTCATCAAGGCTAGGGAGATTGGTAGGGAGCTTTGGAAGATCGGTGTGAAGATGGCCTCCTTGGATGTCACCTGGCTGCTGTTGATCCATGTACATTTCAAGCACCTGCATGAGGGGGCAGATAGGATGTTTGAAGCAGAACCACTGAAACTTCCCCTTTTCAACTGGCCACTGCGAGGGGCCACAACAGTCAAGATAAACAGAAAGAAGGCAAGAAACTTAGATCTGAAGAACCAAGTGCAAGAGTTTCAGCGCTCACTTTTGTGTAAAATTGTACTCGCTGATGCATTGCTCAGGTATACTTGGTGCTGGAACCAAGTCTTCTAGGCAAGAATGACTCAGAAAAGGAGAATGGGGCGCACCGTTCTTCTGGTTGGAGCCACATTTTGACTGATCGCTGCAACAGCTTTTGCCACCACGTCAGCTGGCAAGTCTAGGAGTTCCACCAAGTCCAGCTCGGTTTTGCACAGGACGTCCTTGAAGAGAACGAGGGGGTAGACAATCAGACGCATTTTAGAGGGATACAAGGCCTAGTATCAGTCCCTAAGGAGCGTGTCAGGGGACCACTTAACACTATGTTGAACAGAATTCACCTGTGTATGTTGATTCGAAGCGTGGTCAATGTTGAGGTCGAAAAACTTATGGAAGTCCGCTTAGATGAATATGCAGATGGACAAAAATTCCGGGACAATCCCGATCGACCAATCTCATGTAGTGAATGCAAACACCATGTTGAAAATTACCACCACCACATTCTAATGGGCTGCACTTACTTTTGCTGTCTCCAGCCGCCGAGACTTCAGTCGGTGCGCCACCAGGCCCTCAATATTGAGGCGACTGATCTCCTTGCTCCCCATCCCCAAAGAGGTTGCTAACCAGCTTCTCTCGGCTTGGATATCGACGTGAATATCATGGCGAAGTCCGAATCTGCAACAGAAGTCTCACCTGATTTTGAGGGGCCTTCGCTAGGCGCAAGTGCATATGTTGGCATCTTTCCTCTATGAATGGACGCTAGACCTTCCGTGCACCCCAAGCTGCACCCCATGCACTAACATATCTGACAGCAATCGCCGCACCGTCCTGAGAAGGCGCCATTCGTCCTCAAACATTTGTACTGTGTTTCTCATCGCCTGGAGCTTTTGACGAGGTAGGCTCAACAAGCATTTAGGGTTTCATGTAGGGTTTTTATGTTGGTATTTCTGACTTGGGCAGCCAGATTGAAAAAGAATCTACGATGTGATACTGAACTTCGCCTACAGATCGCCGGGGAGTCGGGACCAAGGTTGCCGGAAGCGGGGAACGAAGTACCGAGCTGAGCTACCGGGTAACCGGATAGCTTTTGGACGGGGTATGCCAAGTGGTCGGTTTGCATCTCAAGAGTCTACCGGGAGGTCAATCAAACTACCTAATTGTACCGATTGGTAAAATTACGGTAGGTAACTGATGGCGACGAATTGTCTTTCATCCACCGTGCCCTGAGTTGTAAAGTCCGGCGACAGGGGGATACCCATATTGGCGTGGAAAGGTCGCTCAATTGAGACCTCCCGGTAAGACATTTTCGGGCCTTGCCAAACGCCCGTAGATTCAGTTCGATAAAGTGCTGTACGTGCTAATCCGTCAAAAGATTCTGCCGCACTTGCCCGCGCTCCCGTCACCAAATTCACCGGTTTCGACGATAAACGGCATTTTATGTAGAAACAGGGCAATATTCTAGGTATGGCGTGTGCTGAGAAGTTCAGTAATCAGCAGCTAGCTCTGCATTGCACATCTTTGAGTAGCACAGATCACGCGCCTTGGCATGGGGTCCTCTAAAAGTTGAGCAGCTGAAGCACACATAATTTATTCAACTATGTACTATTGAGGGGTTCCAATAGAGACGCCTTGCCTTCGGCGATCGCCAGCTTCATGCTGCTTTGACGTGTAAGACAAGCAGCAAGAGTCCATGGCGGAGATGCATTCCAATGACTGGCACTCCTGCTCCAAGCTGCTCTCGGTCATGGTGTGCGTGCTCCTTGTCCACCTTATCATCCAGACCAACGGGCCTGGAAGACCCCAGGCGCATCTAGTCACCAAGGGGCAGCCTCACAAACCTCCCCCAATTTGTGATGTGAGTTACATCTCAGGGACTGTGAACGCTCTGAACAGCACCAGCACTCCGCTTGAGCTGTACCACACTGCAAAGAGGTGGTTGAGGCCCTGGAGCAGGTGAGCTCTCTGTTACACCTCTGTGTTGCAGCCATGCCCCGTTGCAGCTCTGTTTGCCCTGCTTTGATCTAGGACGATTGGCTTTGTCATTGGAAGCCAAGGCTGCGTAAATTGCAAAAGTAGTACTCTGTGTGGTGGTGGACATGCGTTGTCTGCACTGCTACGTGTCAGCGGTATCTGAATTGTGTGAGGATACTCAGGTTTAAAAGCAGTAATGCCCTCCTGAGGGGTGACTGGAATGGGCCGTCTTTTGAGTTGTTTTGAGGTTTGAAGGTTGAAGCACTTGCGCTTCTTGCTGCATTTGTTGCTGTTGTATCAAGAATCATGTCAAGCCACTCGAAGGTCCTTCCAGTTGGTCTCTTGGGGGATTGCCAATAAGGAAACACTAGCTTGCATTCCACGGAGAAGTCGATTGCAAGGATGCCCCTCATTTGATTGTTGAGAGTTTCTTCCTTTTTCCACAGGCACCGGCATGGCTCTTTCGGAATCACAACAGAGCAGGTAGAGAGGCTTTTTGAGACAATCAACAAAACCGATGTAGGTGCTGTCCGTTTTGTGGTCCGAAATGGCCGACCGAAAGCACTTCCTGTCCGCTTCCCTCGAAGCATTCACTATCAGTCTCGAGTCAGCTTTTGGCAGAGCCTCCTAGAGCGTTTAGCTTGGCGCTTTGGCTTGCCGGAAAACCTGGACGCTGTATTCTGGACGGAGGATCAGCCTCAAATTGCTGCTGGTATAAATACGGTCTCCCTGGCGCCTTTATTTGTCTCTGCAACCTTACCAGGTTTCTTCGATGTACCCATCCCAACCACAGAGTATTACTCTAAGCTAGCAAAAATGGATCTACATGAGGTAGTGGCAAAGAAGAGGTGGGAGGAACGCCAAGCAAGGGCAATTTGGAGGGGTTCTCCAACTGGAGGTTGGTTTGCATCATACAACTGGTTTACTTACCCTCGATCAAAGCTGGTAAATGTTAGTTTACACAACCCTGAGATCATCGATGCAAAGTTTCTCCCTTGCGCGTGGGGCCAGTGTGCGGACGACGTATGGCCCTTGATTCAAGAAGCATTTCCGGAACACACAGATGATACGCACTTTACAATGGAAGATTACGTTCAATACAAGTTCGTGATTTCGATCGATGGCAATGCGTGGAGTAGCCGCTTTGTTGACCTACTACGTACAGGCTGCGTTATCTTCAAGGTAGCATCCCCTTATCTTGAGTACTTTGATAGCTTCCTCATTCCTTATAGGCATTACATCCCCGTCGCAACGGACTCTTCCGATTTGTTAGACAAAGTTCGTTGGGCCATAGATCATGATGAGGAGATGAAGGCAATCAGTATTGCAGTGCAAGAGGTTTTTTATCGGTCTATCGGGAATGGGGTTTGGGAAGAGTACGCTTCGTTGATGTTGGAAGAGTATTCCAAATTGCTTCCACCCGAACCTTCGAACTACATCCTAGAGAAGTACAGTGAGAGATTCAGATATGATACAGAATTTTCCGAGCATCTGCGTAGGCTTTGGGAGCACGAATAGAAGATGGTTCAAAGCAGATATTGAGTATCAGTTACAGGCTCCTCGGAATTTTGACTATTTACTTGCCGTGTATCATGAACAAGAGGACTCTAACGGGAAGAGCTTTCAAATCCGACTGGTGCAACGCAGCCATGTGGACTCTCGATTGATTCAAGTTCGTGGCGAATTCAAATGTATAGGACACTGCAGGTCTGGCAGGTGGTCCAATTTGGAAGTTGCCCGAGAAACGTCCGGCGCGCAGCCCAATTGGATTTTCATTACAGAAATACTGGACGGCACTCGGACACGTCATGGCGCACAGTGACCGTTGTGCACAGATCATCATTAGTGCGAGCTTGCAACTGCATATGATCGCGAATTCGAATGCAACGAATGCCTAGTCTGTACGTTCCTGCGCATGGTCAATGCTTTGAACAGACGGTGACCGTCCCTATAGGGGCCACCATGCATTGCATGTACAAAATTATAGGTTTAAAGGCCACCGCCCACGAATGTGCGGTGCACATGCAGGAGCTTCTATATATACCATTCTGCGCACATGTCCCCTCGGATCTATGAGTGCATCACAAGATAATGGTTACACAAAGTTCGACTAGCTCATGAGTTCTATATAACGCGGCCGGTAAGGGCCTGCAATTAGTATATCGGGCATGCATCACATGAGGGATCTGCAGGGGCCGCGGCTTGCAAGCCCAGATCCCGATCATTGATTTTATAGAAATGCGGGTGACGATTCCCAGTCGGCGACCGCGGTCAATGGTCGTCGAGCTAGTTGGAGTTACAGAGATCGTCTTAGTACATAAGCCATGTTGGACACCATTTGATGTTGCATGCAGGAGGCGTCAGCCTGTCGAATATGTAATCTGCTGATCCAACTGACCCGATGGATCATGCAATATGTAGCATACTCCAAGTTGCAATGGCTCCGATATGATGATCATTGTTCATTGCTTGCATCGACAGCAATTGTAACAGGGTTATCGCCGAACCATTGGAGGCATAGAATGATGGCTGTCGAAGTAAAGCCGCGTGACTAGATCAGACAAGTAATGGCATACCGTACCTGCTAATCTGATTCCTCGTCGTTCTCAGAGTCTTCAAAATTCTCCGCCTCAAGTGCCTCCTTCAATTTCTTTTCAAGTTCACTGTCAGAACCGGTATCTTCTTGAACTATCGGGCGCTCATTGTCCAAAACCGTGCCCCAAGCAGCCGCTTGCCGCTCGTCGGGTCTCGAGACGGTATCTATGTGTGCTTCCTGTAACACCCAACGCGGAGAGATATATTTGTTCATTTGCTGGGTAAGTCGCTTGTATGGAGCGAGAAGTTCGGAAAGAGTGCCTGAAACTTACTTGATACAAGGCTTTAAGAAGCACTGAAGGCTCCGAACATACACTCGAGGAGAAGCGAGAGACAGCAGAGAATGGCCCCCAGATTGTACCCAGACTCACGTGCAATGGGGAGAGTGGTCGAGGAAGAGGGGCCAGATCCTCATCACCAGCGATTTGCTGATCTTGCATATTCCAAGAAGCAGACTGGAGGATCAATTGTTCCTCGAGCTGCACGGAAAGATGGACAGGGAACCTCAGAAAAGCAAAATACCCAAATATAAAGTAATGTGCTAAAGTTAAATCAGACAACTACTTTCAAAGACCCTCAAAAGGGTGCTTTGTACGACTCCTCCCTTTTGAGTGGGCGTCCGGCACGTCATGCGTGCTCACCAACGGCATCAAAGATCTAGCGGTCAAACCTTTGGATGGCTTATGAGGGACTGCCAGACAATGAAAATTAAACAATGAAGTTCATGTCCTGTGCCCACCAAGGTCGCGACGAGCGTTATACAGTGTTGAGAGGTGTAAAGTGGCACTTACACCAATATAATCGATTGAGTATTGATGCGGAGCAATGATGCATGACAGATGTGCTGTTGCAATCTGAACATACATTGAACCTGTCCTTTGAGTCAGCCAGCGAGTGACATACTTGCCTTCAGCCTTTCCAGCTGTTTCTCCACCTTGCTCTGCATCTGCTGCAGGGTGTCAGCTTCAGCTTCAAGCAGTCTGCAGGCAAAAGAAGCGCAAAGTCAACGAGGATTGCAAAGAGATAGAGAGTGGAAGCTGATGAAGATCAGCGATGGTTTCGAGAAACGCATGACGTTTCAAGGTCCTCAGAATTGGTTTGAATCAAGTGGTGCGACGGTGCAGGCAGCTGAATGACTGGCTTCTGATGAAAATTTGATGCTCCACACCATACACAATCGGAAAAGGAGAAAGCATAAGAAGACGGGGGAACTGATGAACATACAGCTCTAGAAGAGGAACATGACATGGACCAAAAAGTATGCTACATTCCACTCTTATACTCACTTCGAAACCTCCTGGGGGCTGAGGCTTTCCATGAAGTCTCCGTCCAGCAAAAGCTTTCAGTATGGGGGCACTGGCCGTCCAGTGGACAGAACGACGCCCAACACCAATAGGGACATCCCCAGGAGTTACCCAGCGCTAGTAGGCAGGTCTGATCGTGGATCCATCCTATTATGAAAGTAATCCAACATTCACTTTACCAACTCCAAGCGGGCGCCAAGCGGCGGCCCATGGGTACCACCACCGCACCATCGAGGCCGACACGCATTGAAATAGTCTGCAGATTGCAAGGAGTCCCAGCCACAGCAATTCAAGGGCACCCTCTGCCTCCCTTTCGGTGTCTCCTCTGATGTTTGCCCATTGTCTTGTAGCACTGCCGTGCTGCCACTGGTGAGGCTGAAGCAAAGTCATCTTGTCTGACTAACCTTTTGATCATAGATGTTTAATATATTCGACAGTGGTCAAGGATATTCCCTCCGGATTATCTCGGTTATACCGTACCGGTACTTTGCCGGCGGCGTTGATGCGTGTCGGGCGGTGGTAAACGTTGGACACTCATGCAAATAACCGGGAGTTTACTCGTCATACGAATTGCTTGCTGCTGATAGGAGGGTGCGAGACATAGTCCGGGGGACCGGGTCCAGCATTGAATTCCACCATATCGTTCGCTGAACTCTAGCTCACAGTTGAAGCTTTCAAGAGAAGCTGCACAGGAAAAGCCGTCCACAAAAGCTGTCCGGCGGCACAAAAATGGCGCTGGAGATCGAGGCCCGCGACGTCATCAAGATCGTGCTACAATTCTGCAAGGAGAACTCGCTGACGCAGACCTTCCAGACGCTGCAGCAGGAGTGCCAGGTGTCGCTCAACACGGTGGACAGCACCGAAACGTTTGTGGGGGACATTGAGGCGGGGCGCTGGGATGCAGTGCTCCCGCAGGTGGCGCAGCTGAAGCTGCCCAAGAAGAAGCTGGAGGATCTATACGAGCAGATTGTGCTGGTGAGGGCCGTGGGAATAAGGACTAGGTTGAGGAGACTTTGAAATTGCGGGGGTGGTGGGGCTGATGAAATGAATTCTGTGTCATGGAATGGGAGTTTGTTTTGTGCTGGTGCAACGATTCCGGATTCATTGCAGGAAAGGAGGAGAAATCGAGCTCTCGTGCCGGTAATAGCATGCTTTGGGAATCTGGAAATCAGAGAGCGGGGGGCATGCCCAAGCGATTCGCTTTGTGTCAGTTTCTGTTCAACGGCTGAACAGGAAGGAATCGAAGGACGTAAGGAAGTCCAAAGGACAACAACAGTTTACAACAACACTTTACATCCTTTCTGGGTGTGCAATGTGGGCCAAAAAAAAAGTCCCAAGCTATGCGTAGCACCCGGCAGAAGCCAAGATATTGGTCTCTCATAATACTTTTTGACTGCACCAACAAAAACTTCTGTTTAAACACGCGTCCATCCAAGCTGCACACGAGCTGCTTCTCGAATCGTACGGCTTCTCAGGTTTCCTTTTGGGAACAATCATTGGTATCCCCAGGTGTCCAATGCAACCACACCATACCCTGCATGGGGTCGCTTCACACTGACGCATTACTTTCATATTGTCATTGTTTCCAGCTTTTCACTTTGGGCCCGTTCCTACGAAACTGCTTCATTCTAGTTTTGTTAACCCAGCCGCTCAATCACCCCCGCGCCCAGTGTTACTCCCCCGGCTCCCCCGGTCCTCTTGTCAAGTTGCCCGGTCTTACAATCTGCTGCGACAGACTTTTGCCCGTTCTCCTCTGCCATTTCCTCCGCTCTTCTTTCGGATTCCAGTGGCAACTGCCCCAACCTACGTCAATCCTTGAGATATCAAGCTGGACAGTGCGCAAGCCATTTTTCTCACTGACCATCTTTCCGCGATCCCCTTTATTGAGAAATTTCACCCCCACTCAATCCCCCTTGCAGGAAATGATTGAGCTCCGCGAGTTGGACACGGCGAAGGCCATCCTGCGGCAGACGCAGGCGATGAGCGCAATGAAGTTGGAGGACCCCGAGCGCTACTCGCGCATGGAGCACCTGCTCGTGCGAACCTACTTCGACCCCAAAGAGGTTTACCAGGTGAGACAGACGCCTTTACTCTTAGCGATGAGTCATCTTACTTCCTTCTTCTTTGAGGCAGGGCAGCCGTCTCTTTGATACGAGACACCAGGTGTTTTGGACAGTCCACCTCTCGAAACGGGGTCCCCGCTCAAGAGGTGCTTGAAGGTTAGACCCCTTCTGGTAAACTCCATCCCGTGATTCCCTTAGTGCAAATAGGATGCAACACAGATTACCCTTTGTGCTGTGAGGTCTGGCTGGATTTTGTAAAAACGCGAGTGTTCCTTACACCTGCAGGACTCGTCCAAGGAGAAGCGGCGCGCGGCAATTGCACAGGCCCTGCTCACGGAGGTCACAGTGGTGCCCCCCAGCCGGCTGATGGCGCTTATCGGGCAGAGCCTCAAGTGGCAACAACACCAGGTGAAAGCAAGGCCTTCGTGTCATTCGGAGTCTTTCCAGGGGTGTCTATCGTCCCCCTCCTTATAAGCCGGGTTACGAGGCATGCACTCAAGAAGTTGCAAAGCGAATCAAGGCATTTTCGTCTTGACATTGAAGACTGGCATGAGCAGTGGCAGAATCGGAAGACCGGACACGCCCTCAACTTGAAACGATGGACGGCGGATGGCTGGCCCAACACTACAGAGGAAATTTGCATGGAAGACGGCTTCGAGTGGCTGACGCATAAGTGGTACCCGTTCCCGGTTTGAAAGAAGCAGGAGGAAGCTCCAGGGTACTTACTTCCTATCCTGCATATTCTGAGGGGCATGCCACTTCTTCCGTTTCTGGCCCCGAGCTTTGAGCTGCCAAGTCTTGGAGCGGCATTGTAAGTATCTCTGAACTAGGTCCTTTTGGTGCTGAGCGAAGTCGTGTTCCACCCTCACGGCTCGCCCAGATGTAAAGTAGTTCGACAATCGAAGACATGACATTGCGTAACCCCTTGGTAATCACATGCGCGGGGCTTCCGTTCAGCTCGAGCACTTCTGCACCGCTGCTCCGCAAATTGTCGTCCCCTCCTCCCCTCAAAACCAATACGCAAGTTCCCCCCCCGGGCGACTCTCTTTTTTATGGCTCACGTAGCTCCCCCCCCCCGCGTTTCTGCAGGGCCTGCTCCCCCCAGGCAGCCAGTTCGACCTGTTCCGGGGGGCTGCCCCGATCAAGGCGGACGAGGAGGAGCGGTACCCGACGGCGCTGCTGCACGCCATCAAGTTCGGCAAGAAGAGCCACCCCGAGTGCGCGCGCTTTTCGCTCGACGGCCAGTTCCTCGTCTCCTCCTCCGTCGACGGCTTCATTGAGGTCAGCACTCGCCGGTTCCATTTGTCGAGCTGAGGCGGTCAGTCGATCTCTTGCGGGCACGTTGAATAGTAACAACTTCTTTGTTCGTCGAAGGTCTGTTCGTCGAAGGTCTTTTCTTTGCAACTGTTTTGACACGGGGGACGATTGAAAGTTGATCTCCTCGGATCGTCTGGCAACTCGAGAAGCGCGAGATCCGATACGCCCTGGCGAAGAGATAAATTGCCCGTGCATGCCTGAACCTTGAGTGCCAAGCCCTCGCCTCTATCTCCGTCCCTTTCCTTTTCCATCCCCCTCTTGGCTGCCTTTTACTGCCTCTCACACTTCACTATTTTCCAAAGAAGACCGCTCCAGCCCGGTCGCTTCGTCCTCTGCAGGTGTGGGACTATTTGAGCGGCAAGCTGAAGAAGGACCTGCAGTACCAGGCAGAGGACGCGTTCATGATGCACGACGACGCGGTGCTGTCGCTCGACATCAGCCGCGACTCCGAGATCGTCGCGTCGGGGTCGCAGGACGGCAAGATCAAGGTCTGGCGCCTGCGCACCGGGCAGTGCCTGCGGCGATTCGAACGGGCGCACTCGCAGGTGAGAAGGATGACTCAGATATTAGCTTTGAAGGAGTGCTATCAGAGTACAGGAGTGCTTGTCAAATGCAGAAAGGACGTTACGAACGAGGTACTGGGGCGGGCCCCGTTTATTCCGTGCCCGCTTTTCCGAGGTTGGTCTTGTTGCTGGCCTCTTACACGGAACCAGGAGTGAAGGCCGCATGGGACGTGAGTCGCAAGGTGCAGGCTGATGAGACGTCCCCTTTGGTGCTTATCAAAAGCAGCGGTCGCTTCTTCACCCGAAGAAGAGAATCCGTCTCTAATACGGGTCTCCTGGGCACGCAACGAAAACCTTTCGAGGTCTTGAAGTTGAAGGTCTTTTCTTTCAAAGCGGGGGGAGACGTTTCTATGTCCGCTCATTAGGTAGGGTCAAAAGGACTCGGTTTTGGAGTCGGCTGTTGTTAGAACGGGTGACTTGGCGAGGTTTACGTCCGAAACCCCTGGTCTTGGCGTCGTCCGACCAATCAACGTTCGAGAAGGCCCTACAGTACTTCAACCGTTGCCACGTCATTATGTCACCAGCATCACCCGTCTCGGTCCGCGAATTGGCTTGTTCTATTTGACCCCTACCTTGTGGCTGGTCTTTGTGACGAGCCGTTCCCTCGTTATGCAGCGCCAGTCAGCTGCGTGGCCAAGAGTGTACTGACCCGTCCTCTCCTCCCCGGGCATGATCAGCTCGGCGTGCAGAAGCAGACGGCGAAAGTTCCTCGGACGTCCTCTGAAATCTCATTCCCCCCCGGGCGTAACAAGCCTGGCGAGGAGAAAAAAAGGGGCGAATTTCTTGACGTTATTATATATTTGTATTTTCCCCAGGGCGTGACGAGCCTGGCCTTCTCGCGGGACGGCAGCCAGCTGCTGAGCTCGAGCTTCGACGCGACCGCGCGCGTGCACGGGCTCAAGTCGGGCAAGATGCTCAAGGAGTTTCGCGGCCACACTAGTTACGTCAACCACGCCGTCTTCAGCGCGGACGGGGCCAAGGTCGTCACGGCCTCCAGCGACGGGACCGTCAAGGTGAGCGGGCCGTCTGAGGAAGAAGAAAGACCCACCTGTTTTTGAACAGGGTATGCATCTTGGTTAGTATGGATCTTGGTTGGTTTCGATGTTGGTAGAATTGTTGGTCGAGGTGACAAAGCGCTCCCGATGACGCTTCAAGTTCCGAAATGCTTCACTTGCTTCATGAAGGATTTATCAAACTCTGGGTCAGTCGGATGCAGAGTCTTTGAAACAACCGGCTCGCATCAGTATGTTGATGGCACACTGCACCCACCTTGCTGCACTGCACTTGACTCGAAGCGGATCAGAGCAGATCATAATCCACAAGCCCCGTGACCCTTTCAGGTGTGGGACTTCAAAACGGCCGACTGCATCACCACCTTTAGACCGCCCGCCCCCGCTCGGGTAAGTACCAGCCAGCGCAGTAATGATGGCTCTTTGCACATATTGACGTACTCTTCTGGAGGTTGTTCCTTGCAAAAGCCGTTGCTTGGCCGCGCACCACGCACCGTCTCGCTCCTTGCGGGAGAAGACATCAGCTGAGAGTGTATGGGGACTCACTCTGGACGCCGTGTGGAGTTTGGTATTCTTTTTCTGGGAAGCAGTACTCTCTGCTGGTTGAAAAAGATGTAGCTCGAGGCAATTCCTTTACTGTACATCACTTCCTCGAAAATCGTGCCAACCGCGTTGGTCTTGCAAGTACATATGATCGCAGCTTGCTGGAAGCGGAAAGCCCTCACAGAAAGGTACGTCAGAAAGGAATACCGACGCCACGTCGGCGCGCGTGCAGGGTGGGGAGGTGGCGGTCAACTCGGTGCACGTGTTCCCGAAGAACCCGGAGCAACTAGTGGTGTGCAGCAAAACGTCGAGCGTCTACATCATGACGCTGCAGGGGCAGGTGCGGGCGCCACGTCAGCACGCTTGCTTCTCTGTCCTTGATTCCGTTCCTTCCTTTTGACATCGCTTTTCAACGGCCTGTGCGTTTCAAAGCTTCGTGTCTTTTTTGAGAGTGTTGGCATGGAACGAAGGGGACTGCTTCGTCCTCGCTTTTCCAAGGGCCTCCCTTGAGGTTGCTTTGAAAGACCGCTCGCGTCATCACAAGCTGGAACAGGTTGGAGCGGGTTAGGACTAGTGTTGTTTCTGCGCCGGATACAAAAGTGCAGCCGCGAAAACCGATTTGATGACGATAAAGGTAGACAATCGGCTCAAAGGAGATTGTCTGGTACGTCAAGAGTAAAACGATACTTACCCGATCCGCATCACAGGTCGTACGGAGTTTTGCGTCGGGTAAAAAGGAAGGAGGGGACTTCGTGGCGGCGTGCGTGTCGCCCAAGGGGGACTGGATCTACTGCGTGGGAGAGGACAAGTGAGTGACTCGCGGGCAATGCTTGGCGACTCATCAGAAACTTTTTGAAGGCCTTCTTGCGATGTTCAAGTCGCACAATTCATTGCCGCCCGCTGCATTCATCGACTTGCCCACTTCGGACGTTTCTATATCATATCTTTTTAGTGCTTGGTCTTTCTTGTGAAAGTCGAGGTGTCCTTGCTCCAATACTAAGGGGGAGCTGACAAAAGTTTCGTCGGTCTGATGTGCAGCACAATGTATTGCTTTAGCACGCAAACGAACAAGCTGGAGCATCTACTAAGGGTAAGTTATCTACTTCCTTATTGGTGCAAGGCTTCCTGCTTGCCAGTGCGGAGAAACAATTGTGGGGAATGTAGCTTGGTATCGCACATTGCAAGCGTATGCTTGAGCTTGCCTTAGCATCCGTTCAGAGTTTCTGATTGGCTCCAAGTGCGAATAGTTGTGCACCGCTTGGCTTGTAGAGAGAGCCGCAGGTTTTACTCAAGTGCTCAACTCCCCATGTTGACCACCTTTGTTGTTCTGCAGGCGCACGATAAAGACGTCCTCGGCTTGACTCACCATCCTCACCGAAATCTTGTAGCCACGATAAGTGAAGACAGTACATTGAAACTATGGAAGCCATGATTTTTAATGCGTCTCTGTTGTGTCCGTTTGGAGTCCATTTGTCGTTATTTCAGATAGCAGCCCAACGTCACGCAAAGCTGCCGGTCCTTTGCGCAGCCACTGACCTCTTAGACGGAATGAAGCATGCATGGCCCTTTCTTGAACCTTGCACAGGGGCTCTCCTTTCATTCCCCACAAAGCTGTACCATGTAAGTGCCAGTTCCGGTGCCATGATGCGGGCCCAATTGGTGCGCCCAATTGTCCATCTACGATATGATTCGTGCCTACAAAGCAACCGTCTTGAATTTGCGCTAGCACGAGCCGCATATAGTCAACAACAGATCATTGCTATGCGCGCAATGATGGGCCGCGCAGGTCCCATTGGCAAGTAGGTCGGACCGTCAACGTCTCGTGGTAGCTGATGCGCTCGGATGCATGCTTGAAGCTATAGCTCTACTAGGTATCAGCTAAGTTCAGCATGACAAGGATCGTTTGCAAGCCCATCGCGCGTTGACGATTGCCTAGCTAGAGGGCCTGGCCGGCGCGGCCCATCATAACCGGTATACTAATCCTCGTAAATTGCCATGGTCACTGTTTGAACCGGCAAAAGTTGTGCGCGCGCAAATCTAGCTGACCTACCATGAAGATAAGTTGCACATGTGGGTCCTTAAGGCGACCATGAGCTTTCAGGCATAGAAGCTGCACATCTGCTGCACGACTTTAGGCCGGCTGCCCGGGGGCCACCAGGTTTTACGTCCATTTGACAACACATGCGGCCGTTGTGACCGCTGACTGTGCCTCTATGTGATCGAATCTGTGCCGGCCACGAGCCTTATTAATGCACAGGCACAACACAATTGATCTAATGAAGTCAAACTTTATATCCGCAGCTCGCTCAATGTAATCCAAGGGTCAGGATACATACGGGCTCCTATCTGCAATCAATTTCAGTGATGACATACTAGGCTATTCCTCTGCTCTTTGCAGACGGCTTCTAGCTCTACTCAGCGCAACTGCGTGCTGGAAGAGTCCGCGAGCAGCCGTGCTACGAGCCGCAGATTCGGTGCCTCCACTTTTCAAAGTCCCCGTTGCATTTCTCCCTCGCTGGGAGCTGCGCGCATTGTCAGCGTCTGGTGCGGTGGCGAGGTACTTTCTTGCAAACACACTCAGATTGACTAGGGGCACCATCGTTGGCCGGCCATGGGCACACTGCACAGCAAGCCAGGAACGGTCGAGTCACAATTTTGTTGAGATGATGTTTGCAAAAGCAACACACCTTTCGCAAGAATCATATCGCCCCAATCTTCATTCTGCAAGCTTCCGACCGATTCAAATGTCTCCGTTTGGGCCCTCAGAAAAATAGTATGATAGGACCGATGGTAGAGAGCAAGAGACGAGCCCTGAGTCCCAGTCAGTCAGAAAATCGCAGAATTTACCTGGAAAGGCAAGTGAGTTCTCTGAAGATGCTTGAGCAACTGCAAGCACTCTCCCGGGAGGAGGGAGTCGCCAAACATGATGGCACCTGCAGAGTCACCGCGCAGAGTGGGCGTCAGCGCTGGCGCGTTGTCAGTTCCAAGGCACTGAGAAACACGGTGCACGCTGGTAGGATGCAAGAGGGCCACCGATCAAATGCTTTTTGCTTTGTGTATTCGCTTCGTGTCGTGCTAGGATTGGCCCAAGAATGTAAGCGCCTGATCTGGACAAGCAGTTCGCGTACCTCGACAAGCTTTTGAGTTCAGAAGACGGATGATGCTCGGCGGAACCGACGACGTGCTTTGGGTGTCTTGCAGCTGCACACACAAAGTCGGTGAGGTGAGGATTGACAGGACGCGCTCTGGTCAAGCGGGACAGTTTCTGCTGTTTCGCTTCAGCGGGATCGCGAGGAGCTTGGGCAAAGAAAGCACTGGTGCGAACAAGGCGCCAAGGCTGCACAGGTAACGTCGTCCCTCACCTGCTGTACGTACTCCAGGAGATCTGGAGCGGTCAGTGTCGCGTCTTGAATACGAGGAACCTGCAAAGGCGTAAGTTCTGCAAATGTTCAATAATGGTGCTGATTGCAAGTGCGACCAGGTAACAGAAGAAGCTTGCACATGGCGATGCCTGCTTGCCGTTTTATCATCTTCATGACACTCAATATAGGCGCTTGAGTCTCGTTTCACGCTTGTCGGTTTCAAGAAGAACACGCGTTCTTGATTCGTTCGCGAGGGGCCGCTCAAAGCAGCTTACCGCAGTGAGTAGCACCTGTCCCCTATGACCCGGCGCTTTGTTCCTGCAGGAAAAAGCTCTTTTGAGTCATTTCTTCCATGGACGAAAGTCAGCTGGTCAGGTAATCCATCCTGGCAATCATCGCACATGCCTTCACGACGGGCATAGCCGGCTGACCTTCGCGAGAAAGGATGCGCGCAAACTAACAACATCAACCATGCCGCTACTTACCAGATGCCTGCTGCTGTCGGCAACCTCTCGAAGGTGTAGTTCCAACCCCATTGCTCGACGACGCGCTTATGCGTCCGTAGGACTTGCTCGTCGGCTGGTGTCAGCGCCTGGAGAAATGAAATGCAGGCAAGCATAAAGTGGCGAACCCAAAGCCGAATGCGCCCGCATTCTCAAACGCTGTCTAAAGGGAGGCCAATAGACAGTCAATGTGCGACGAATGACGGGAGAGGACGTCATCGAAGAGGGGATCCTTGCGTCACAATCTCACCAGCTTGATGGCTTCTTTGAGTAGATTCGAGCTCGTTGTTGTTTCCGAATCCTTTACCCCAAGGACCTGTAGCACCAGAAGAGAGTCAAGAAGAGGCTTTCGAATTGAACAACGATAGCTACCTGGTTTTGCTGAAATGCCTCAATAGTAAACGATACTGCTGCAGCTGCAGAGGCCCATTGCGGAACAACACATGCTCAATCTTATCAGCATAAGCAAGCTGCATCTACGGATGGCGACCGGGGGTCTGGTCTCACCATTTCTTTGAGCTCCTCCAGTCGAACCCGCTCATCCGCAGCATGCTGCAACCATGCAATAATCCAAGTCAGATCACTTCCTCGTCGATTTGCATTCAGCATGATGGAAGTAACAGAAAGCGCAACGTGCAAGAACTCAATCTTTGCAGCAGCCTGCTTGAAGAGTGCATAAATAGAGAAGGTTAGGCATCCGAGGGCAGAATACCAGCCTTCTTAAGGCAACAAGCTCATGTGAGAATGCTGCAGCGCCCCATGTCAGCTTCTTACTTGATCGATGATAACAAGGGTGTTCCCGGCCACGGCTGCTATGAACTTTCGGTCTAGTTGCTGGAAGACTCGGAGCCGTTGAAGCATGTCGGAGGAAATTTCCTTGGGCACGATGTTGGGATGACTGTCGATTTCTAACTCTAGAATGTCCGAGTCAGCGGCTCTGAAACACGGATTCTGCCAGGCCTGCACCAACATGTATCTCGCTGGGAAAGATCCAAGTCCAGCTTCTCAAGGAGCCGACTCGACAATCCAGCGACAGCTCTGAGGGCCGATCTGACGCAGTCAGACCTTGTCAAGGGACTTTTCGCGAATCGCAGAAGAAAAGATGGCGCTCGTGACCGTTCGACATTATGTGGCAATGCAAAGCAAAAGCAGAGGGTTGTCAAAAACGATTTCGGTGAGTGCAGTGCATGGAAAGGTCGAAGCACGTTTCCGCAAGATATTGCCCAAGAAAAAGCCAAGAGCTAGTCGGCCAGAAGGACAGAACGAAAGGCACTCACTTTGTACATGTCCTGTACCTCTTCGTTATCTCGTGAAGTCCTCCACTTTGTAAGGGAAGCCGCTTCCGGTGATGCTTGTGCAATGCGCGTGCCAGCAGTGTTACCTGCGAGTACCCTCAAAGGTCAGAAGGTGAAAGGGCGAGCGGACCGTCGAAAGCAGCCGATGAACAAGAACAAGAACAAGAACGAAACAATTCGGAAGCAATCAGCTCCTCGTGACTCGCCCTCATCAAGCATCTTAGGGGATTGTATCACCAACCTTTCGAGGGATCTGACGGTGCTAGCGAAGCACCACTCTCCGGGCCGTAGCGCTTTTTAGGACGGGCGAACGGCGGGGCCGACTGTGGACGTCTTGGGAGGGAGTGGCTGTCTTCTCTTCTCCTTTTCTTGCGACTGGAAGCAGCCGTCCAAGCGCGGTCTTCGACTGTCTTCCGGCGTCCGGTCCCTGCTTGCTTTAAGAAGTGCGGATCTAGCAGCTCCTGGCCGTGCATCGCTGCACCTTGCGCGCTTCTAAGACGCGGTGCTTTTCCTAGCTTGCTCTGGTCAGCTTTCCTGCCTCTGTGTTCAGTGCCTGACGAAGCATCGTGTTGGCTCCTCGCAGCGATGCTGTACCCTTGCACTGGTTCAAACAGGTCCCATTGCGGATCCAAATGCGCGTCAAAAGAAGGAGTTGATCCGCGCATCCTATCTTCGATATCGACATCTCGAAAGGGGCTTTTTGCTGGATGCACAGCTGGCCTGAAATGGTTATACTCCTGAGCGTAGTCCAATTCTGAAAAGCTGGGCGACGAAGGAGTAACAGGCGTTGGACTTCGGTTGGCGACTCCCTGCTCCAGTCCAGACCTAGGCCTCCTAGAGTCGAAAGAGTCAAACCATTGCACTTGGAAGGGTTTTGAGACCTGGCTGGGTGACTCCCAGTCCACTTCCATAGCATGCTCACGGTCAAGGTCATCCTCCTCAAAAGCGAGCCCCGCCAACTGATCTTCCCTTCTTGGTCCTTCAATAGTTACGTCCATCTTGACGAAGCCAAGTAGAGGTTCGGGATTGCAGGGCAAAATCTGCGGCTCGTGGCAGATGGTGTCAAAAGGGTCCGGATCCAATGGACTCCGTTCGAAATCTGAAAGCAATCTGGGCCGCAATCGCTCGTCGTTCTGTGTGGTCGCCTGCTTCGACTCCTTGAACCAGCTGGTCAGAGGATCTTCCTCCATGTCCAACTCATCGATGGCTTTCACCCCGTCGAGAGGGCAAGGCTGGCTCGGGCAACTCAGTCTGGTTCCAGAATGTCCTGTACAGCCAAGACCAAATGAGTAACAATTAAACGGCGGGGTATCCAGGAACACGAAAAGCAACTTGAAAGCGAATTCCGCGAAAGCGCGTTCATTTGTAACAATATTGCTGTTCCTAAAATAACGGTCAAGCTGGTCATACTCACGGCTCTTGAGTTAGACTCACCAGCCAAACCAGAGCACAGTGGGCCCCAAACTTCATCCAAAGCGTGCTGCAGACATGAAATGACGGTGCTCCAATCCTGCAGGTCCGATATAAGGTGTTCGTCAAGAAAAGTGCTACTAACAGGAAAGCAACGGTCCTGATTATTCCTGCATCCTGTCAAGAAAAGCAGGCAGCAGAGACCTGAACCAAGAGTCGCGTCTAGCTGTGGCCCTGGCTCTTACTTTGAACTCAACGTACGACTTCGTCGGCTCGAACGTGATGTCGTACTCCGAACAGGGGCAGTCGAGGTTGAGAATGAAAGTTGGCCTCATCCCAGAATAGCTGGCAGCTACGGCCAGAGTGTCCGCAAATCGCACGTTGAGGGCTCGATGAAGCGGAGTGTTGCTTACGTATCGCCGATTGATATCTGATAGCAGAGTCAAGCGATCGAACTCTGACATTGAGGGAAATGATCTTCCAAGCGAGGTCGACTTGAGCAACAGGGCTGAATGCAGTATTACACACCTGTCTACGACTGGCTAGAAACTTGATTGAAAAGCTCTAGCGGCGGGTCGAAGACTACGAGAATCCTTCGCGAAAGGATACACAGGTATTGAAGACCCTGCAGTAAAGACGGGTCGACAGAATTAAGATAGGTTTTCAATCCGGAGACCGTGTCCTACTAGCGGCTGCTCAAATATTGAGAAGCAAAGGAGGGCAATGATGTGGACACGATGACAACACTTGCTAAGATTTCCCCAGAGAGGCAACCAATTCCACATCAGTTCCGCAGAAGTAAGGAACCAGGGGTTTCACCTTAACAGTCTGGCCTGAGTCCTTCTTAGTGATGCATCCCCAAAGAACAACTCGGTCGGCAACGTGATGCACTGGCTGCAAGCCACTTGCCGCTTCAAAGCCAAACAAGCATTCTACGAGCTCAGTAGGACTTCGCACCCGAGGTGTGGACAGTAGCCGTTGTTGACTGCATGAGGTACCGGCAGAGCTTTCGTCAAATAGATGCCAGTTCGTGTGGAAGTGTTGCTCTCTCGTCAGAGCAATGCAATGCAAATCTTCTCAAAGACTCAGGTCAGTGGGACGAATTGAAGACAATTGATCTGAGTCGACGAAAGATTGAGCCTTCTGCCAATGTCCCCGGACCGAAGCTTTCAACGTCGTTTAGGCTCACCTAACAGTATTGATGATCTCGAAAACGACCTCTGTGTGTACGAAGGCCAGGCGTAGGACTCTTTCTCTCAGATCCTCTAGCTCTTTCGACGACCTGCATCCGAACAGAATTGAAAGTATTTCGAAACTCCACCAAGGGAAACACTTGAATGCTCCACAGGTCAAAATGCTCCAGTGAATGGCATCCAAGAGGCCGTTATGCCGAAGGAGTGCCAATCTATCGAAACTCTCAAGGGCCGTAGGGCTCCTTAGGATTCTAGTGAATGTGACTCAGAGCTTCGTTTTCTGAAATCTAGTTCCACAATAGCTTACCGAGACAGCAGTTGCTTTCTCTTCACAGGCTGGTTGAAGAACAGATCCTGAACGTCAACTGCAAGAAATGAACGAGTTCTGTGAAAAGTTTCAAGCATGTAAGGGTGATCTATAAAAGCGTGCGAAAACAAGGAGAGAACCTCTCGAAAGCACTGAGAATCAAGGTGACTGGTTGCATCGACTTGGTATCGCATCACTTTGCCCAAGACAGGGGCCGAGAACAGATTCAGCCTTTAGATGGTGCCTACATGCATAGTGTCACTTAGCTGGACTGCCCTGTTGACATACCCAATCGAGGCTGCACCACATGCGTTTGCGTATGCAGCAAAACAGGTTGTTCTACGACCTGAACACTGTTCGTACCTGCTGTTCCAATACCTATTGGTTTAGTGGCTTCTCCACTAGGAGAGCTCAACTCGAGCGAGAGACATTTGCCGCCCTGCAACTAGAAGAGAAGCTCTGATGAACTGATCTCCTTGAGTACATATGGATTCCTGCATGAGGATGTGCAACGAGCTCAAGTCCTAGAAAACTGGCCAAAGGTAATGCCAAAGGCAGATTGTCGAGTGAATTATTTTGACATCATGCGACGTCTTACCTTGATAACTTTACGGAAGGCTTGTGCACCTCTTGTCTTTGTCACGATCGTTAGTGACGCGCACTGGGCAATGGAGCTGAGGGCTTCGCCTCGAAAGCCCAGCGTAAGAGGACTGCTCTCTGGACCAGCTAAGTCTTTGAGCTTTGAGGTGGCTGCAGAAGAAGAAGACTGCTCTTTGGTCTTATTCTGAGGCCTCCAAGCATCAAACCAACCTCAGCAAAATACTCGCAGCCCCTGCCAATCTGCCAGCCAGGACCTGTTTCCTCATTCAAACAGCCTGCTAGTAATCAATCACTTACCATGGCCAACACCTAGCACTGACAAGTCGTCTCTGCTTATGCCATGTCCATCGTCGAGCACTTGTATGCGAAAGGTGGTTGGATCGAAGAAGACCTGAATCTGAAGGATATAGCAGGAGCAAGAAAGGCCTTGATCATGTTTGTGAGCCAAAAGAGTGCATCAAACACCGTCATTGTACAACGAGGACCTGGCCTCAGGAATGCTGCTGGAGAGAGGCTTTATTTACCAGTGGGCAAAGCAGTCCCCTAGCTCTTGATCAAAAGCAGCCAGTCAATGTGCATCGTGGTACCTCAAATTCTAAAGTGGCAAGGGTAAAATGCAAGGCATCTTTGCAAAGACTTCAAGTCGCGTTGATTTGAATGTTTGCAAAGCTGGCCTTTCACTTGAAGGACATTATATATTTCTGGGATGGTGGCAAGTGTGTTTACCTTCTGTGCTCCAGCATCGATGGAATTGCACACAAGCTCCTCAACGAGCTGTCCTAGGTTCGTGACAACAATCGACGAACGAAGCTGATTATGCACTTCCTGCGGCAGCTTGAAGAGTGCACTCATCTTTGCCAGGGTTCAAGCTGGATACTTCCTGCCAGCAACCGACAGGGAGGGTCTCTTAGCATGGCTTGAGAACAGCAAAGAGAAGGCCTTTTCAAAGTTCTACCTTGCAATGCTGCTCTGACAGAGCTGCAGAAGCAACGCTGCCGCCCCGTGGCCGCCTCAGTCTGAGGCTCAGATGCCAAAAGTCTTGGCCAGAAAGACAAATTGACAAAGGCTAGAAGAACGACGCGCGCACACATCAGCATGTGCGCGGACATGCTGGCCTCACCAGCGCCAACTCTTCAATATTTCCGACGGCCAGCGTAACCCTAGAAATCTGCAAACGGAGGATCGCCTATCAAAGCATGTAATTGTACTTGTAAGTTGTAGTGGCTCCCTGAAAGCTATCACCACATGGAACAGGAGCTCATAGGTTTTGTGGTGGCGATGGAAGGGGGCTCTGGCAGAATTATGGGGCGAGTGATACCCTAATAGGTAATTTTTGGTCGATACTTAGCGTAGCTGCGTCTTGCCCTTAAAAGTTCAAGCAGACGGCATCGTGACACATCATACACAGTAAAGCATAGAATGAGATCCTTTGAACTGCAGGTGAATGACTATCGGAGAGCCGCCCTCAAATTGAGGTCATTCGATCAAGAAGAGTCTGCTCCCACGATCAGAAACGACTCCCAAGCAAACCGTGGGCGTCAATTGTGTGTCGCGACAGAGAGATTTCCGTTGCTGAAAAGTGCGCAGAGCTTTTTTGCTCTTGTGATGGCTTGTGGGAGCAGCTTGCACTCCATCCCTTCTTAGATCTGTTTTTGGGCTCAAAAGGCAGCATGGCAGCTTGGTTGGAGGCGTGGCTCAGCAGAATTGAAAATTCCAGAGAAGTCGACCAGAAAAGGGCTGGCTATGCGGAGAACCTGTGGAGATTGTTTGAAGGAGAAGTGCAGGTATGTTTCAGACAACCTTTGCATGTTCCAATCCATAGTGTGCTGGCAGATAATGCCCATGGTACATTTCTTCGCTTTCGATTACTCTGTACAAACCGATGGTATAAAGCGGGGACTGGAGCGACGGATGTATTTGAGCTCCAGGGTCTTAGCGACCACTAAGCAAACAGTCTGGCCGCTTCCCCTGGAGATGCTTATGTTTCCACATGATCACAGGCCTGTTTGAGCGCCCTTGCTACCTTCGGACAGGTTTTTCTATAATCTCTTCTCCCCGACTTTTTTGCAGCCTGAAACATGGGTGCAGCTTCAGAAGTTGCGAGCTTCCCAAAGGATGGCTCGGGTGCTGGACATCCGGTCCAGCCCTCCCCTTGTCAGGTATGTCCACCCACAGCCCCGTACTGTTCTAGTGTTGTTTGAGAGCAACACGCAAGTGGTCGCACATGAAGAAGAACAGAAGGATTGCCTTACAAAGTGCTGCCGAGCCAAAGAGGGAGCGTCTTGCAATCCCCTCCTACGCTTTGCAGACCTTGCCTCCAGCTGCTTTTGTAGCCGTCCACTGAGGGTTTCAACTGCCTGCAGGCGATTCGTCGTCATGGCCCTGTTGTCCATGGTCCAAGCGGACGCGGCCAGCTCCCAGTCTGGCGGCCACCGTCTGCGCAATGTCGAGCTGGTGTCCATGCTGACAGCAGAATTCATGAGAAGCGTTGCAGACGAGTCGAGCACGGTGTGGACCATCCTGGCCGAGATACTGGCCTTGCTCTTAGATCCGCAAGTAGAGAAGCAATCAGGGGGTCAGAGGGTCAAACCCACCACGCTACTCAGAGGTAAGGCTGCGCTCAGCATCAGCGTGCTATATGGTGCCAGGGAGGAGTCAATCTCTCAATTCCAGTCTCTAGAACCCAAAATTCCCTGAAAGATCCTCAAGATGATACTGCAAACATGCTGTTTTCTCCATGGTGCTAATAGTGGTCTGCCCCGTTTTGGAGCAGGCACCAACCTGGAGGAGTTCGCAAAGGCCATTCGACAGGGGCTGCTTCACCAACCTTCGGAGGTCGGTACCCGCAGAACCTTTTCCTACCTTTGGATTGCGTTAGGAGATCCAGAATCGTTTGGAAGTCATGTTGCAGGCGCACAGCAAGAAGCATTATGGTATTCTGCTCGATAATAAGACTTGAGTGCTCGAGCAAGTACAACGGCACCTGCTAAGCAGTCCTCAAGTCCTCACCTGCCCTCACCTGAATTTGCATGTCAAGCAGCCATCAATGTTTGTAAACGCAAAGAAAATCACCAACTTAACGTTGCCTAACTCTGCTGACTCATGCAGGTGGTACAAGCATGCCTGCTGTTACTCGTCAAGGCCTTCCATGACGCAGCCTTCTGCAGCGCTTTCATGCAGGTCGGAGGGGTGCACGCTCTGCTGTTGTGGTAAGGGCCTGGGACCCTATTTTGCATTTGGTCATATTGATCTTCTTCGAGGTCAAAACCGCCAGGTTATTCGGCTGCTTTGTGTACCCTATTCTTTGACTTGTCGTCCACAAGACAGATGAAAGTCACGAGGATCTCCCAGGCAGACTCTGCTTCGCTTTACAACCGACTGACAATCTTTTCTCATTTGTACGCAGCACCAAGAAGAGCCCGTCTGTCTCGATGACCGCGCTACGCGCCTTGCGCAACCTAGTAGAGCGTGCACCGCACACCTTGCACGTAGGCAAAGTGATACTCCGGGACTTCGCTACCTTCCTTACGCTGCTCAAGCTGATGCAGCGCAACAGTGAGAGCGTGCTGAGCCTGGTAAGCTGGGACCTACCTGCTTGGATGGTGGATTTTTGAGAAGACATCTTCAAGGTTCTACGGGAACGATATGCTAGCGCAACAAAGGCATTCTTCGTGTGCCCTGCATTTCGGCTGTACACCCCAACCCCTTGTACGTGTAACCATGTTCCTCTGCCCAATCACACTTCTTGGCGTGAAAATATTCAGAGAGAGCACGGCCAACGACACATCATAGTTGAGTCCAGATCAGACCTTACAAAAACACCCTCACTTAGGGCTACGAAAGCTCCTATCAAGTTGCTCCGACAGGTAACCATCACCTTGCATACATACCGAGTACGGTCTTCGGCTCGGCTGGTACCAGGATTCCACTTCCCTTCTTCTTCTGATTGCTTTCCCTTCCGACCTCTTCTTTGCAGGACCTAGCTTACATCGAGGAAGAGCGCAAGGTGGAGATTGCTCTCTTCTTCGGCAGCATGTGCGCGGGCAGCATGCAGTGCCGGAACCTCCTCCGAAAGGAGCTGTCCCGCTTCCCTACCTGGGCCGTCCTGGCCAGGAGCAGCATCCTCTCCGCCCTGGCGCAAGCAGAGCCTGCCGCCCTATGTCAGGTGAACAGCGCCCTTTTGCATCTGAGACCGTTACGATTGTTCATGAGTCGGAATGGTGCCTCCCTGATCACGTGGTACTTCAAGATAGATCATTTCAAACACTTGAGTATACCCCGTTTCTTCAAGTTTCCAATCCTTTGGGTTTCCTTGTTCTGATCTCTCGGGTTATGCGTTCATTGTTTTTGATTTATTCAATCTTTTGGCGTTTACTTTTTGATGGCCGTGTGACTTTCACACACACTGTCCATTTCATGCCGGTACGGACTTCCTTGCCGAAACGTGCCTGACTCCCGTTTCGGACATTGGGAGAATGAATGCTCGGTATAAGTTTGGGAGATCAATGCTAGCCGCAGCATGAACGCTCATTTCTCGCTCCCCCAACCCAGGTCGTCATTCCCGGGTCCTCGCTCCCCGTTGTGGCCGCGCCCCAGCCCGCCTCCTACTCCCCGGCCTCCTCCGGAGCGCCCCCCTCCCCTCGTGGCGACCACTCTAGTTACGTCAGCAATAATAGCGGGGGCAATAGCCCTCGGGGGGCCTCTCCCGGGCAACGCTTCGGCTTCGGGGCCGCCGAGACTCTTGCCGCGAAACGATCCCCCGGGTTCGCCGACCGCTTCTCCCTCTCTCTCGCCACCCAACCCGGTGGCGGCGCCCCCCCTGGGGCGCTCCCCGACGACCCGAACCTCCCCGCTCTCGAAACCGCGATCGTCTCAGAGGAGTTGCGCTCGCGAGCGCGCGCTATATACGAGGCGCTCAAGGCCGCCGTCGAGGTGGCGTTCGACATCTACCCGACGGACGAAAGCGGGGGCGCCGTCCGACTCGAGCGGCCGCCGGACGGCGTGCTGTCGCGGACGGTGTCCGAGGCCGTGTCCGAGGCACCGGTGTTGGAGAGCCGCGCGCCCCGCAAGAAGTTTTTGACACACCGCGCGCCGGCCATCACGCAGTCCCCGCTGCTGCGCATGTCGCCCGGGGTGCGGCAGGCGCTGCTCGCTATGGCCGCGGACTCGGGACTACAGGTACGTTCCGCTCGCAGCACTTATCTCTAATCGAATTAGGGCTGGGGCTTTGGTGTTTGGGAGATGACGTAAGTCTGTGCGGATAGTCCCTGGTAACAATGCAGTCCTTTCTTATCTCTGGACAACCGACGTCGAGATTTGGAGGCCTGTGGCTCCAAGGAGGGCAGTGGGATTCACCTCTCGTGCTTGGATCTCAACAATCACGTAGAAGGCGGCAACCGCACGATTAGCAAGCAACCGCACACTCTTGCTTCTTAGTCTCGGCTTCCAGTTTATGAGATGCGGCTCCCTTCGTGCTTGTGAAACCTTGCTGTCCGTAATATTATGGCTGCAGTGGCGTGCTTTTCCTCAAAAACAGAAGATCGCGACGCCCTTATTATTTCTCCATTCTTTTCTGAATCACTTCTTTTCAACACTTGCCGTCTACCACCCGCAGTCGTCCAGCGTCAGCCGCCCCGCGTCGTCCCTGGGCACCCACCTGGACGACTCAAGGTCGCGCCACGGGGGCGCGTTGAGCAGCGAGGCCAACTTCAGCACGCTCGAGTCGGAGTCGGTGCTCCAACCGCGGCTGGGGTCCACCATCTTGGTGCAGAAGCAGGAAGGGCGCCGGCGGGCCTCCACGGGCAGCAACTGCGAGCCGTCGTTCGTGCTGGGGTCTCCGCTTATACCTCTGGACGGTGAGATAACCTCCGTCACATGTTGAGTAAAGGAAAAGGAAAGGGATGGAAGTAGTCTAAGCTGCTTCAATACTTTGAAGACGCTGGCGGTGCTTCGCGGACACGTGAGTTCTGGCTGTTGGCTTGTCCTTCTGAAAGGCACTGGCTATCACTGGCGGACCTCCCGTGCGAGGCACGGCACGACCAGGCTGTGTCAGTGGATGCACGTATGGAAGTCTTCCCAGCTTGCCTATATGTGAGTTTCGGACACACCCGTTTTAAAGATGTCTATAACAGGTTCCTCCTTCCAGAGATCCGTTTCAAACTAAGAGAGCTGGCAGTATCTACTGGGCGGCTGCCTTGTCGCCAAGCCCTCCGACTTTGACGTGAAGCCAAGTTGCTCAACATGCTGATGTGACAAAGTTGCTGACGTTCGCAGGGGAGCTGTTCCGGTTCGCGCTGCCGACGTCGCAGCTGGAGGAGGGCACGCTGGCGTCGCTGTGGCGGTGGAGCCAGCAATGTCTGCGCGACGTGCGCAAGCAGATGCTCATTATGCCCAAGAAGGACTACCCGCGCGCACGGCCCGCGCTGCAAGAAAAGAAGACGCGCATCCACACGGTGCGACAAGCGAACCTCGGAGGAGCGTACTAGAACAGGTTCCAAATGAATCGTAGCCCTAAAAGCGGACGACAGGCTTCAGATTTTCTGATCCAAATTTCGTTGATCAGTACGAAAGACAATGGTCTCGACAAACACTCTCATTGCGTCAGATTTGCACATGGTTGATGAGCATCTTTGCGCACGGTTCATGTTGAGAAACCCGTCCTGCTCAGGGCCTGAGCTGGAATACTACGTCTTTTAAACATACAATAAATAGGCGCTTCGAGGCCTCTCAGCACCGGTTTTTACTAGCATTACTTTTGGATCGAGGCCCGGATCGGGAATGAAGACAAGCCTGCAGAAATGCAATCGCTCGAGTTCTACATTCCAATCAAGATCTGCCGAGCTCCCTTCACGTGTGTGCAGATTGACATCAGTCAAATTGCTGTCCACTTTTCCGATTTGAGAAGGACTGTCCAGGTTGTTAGTGGTTTCCTTGACACAATTTCATTGGCAAGTCAGCACCCAGGATGTGAGGCCTGCGCAAATGAACGGGATAAAAAATCCGTATCCTCCAGACGAATTGCGGCTCTCCTCTCCTTATACTCTGCGCTGTTGCCCTTTCCAGGTGGAGTGCGCCCTGTTCCGGCTGCTGACCCTTGAGCGCATGCTGGGCACCAAATTGGTCTGGTCCAAGCTGGAGGAGGCGGCCGCGGGTGGGGGGATGATTACGGAGGAAAACATCGCGCGCTACACCGCGCTCGTCAGCGGCAGCTTCAAGGAGGTCTCCAGCGCGCGCCTCGCGGAGCTGCCCGTCTTTGCGGTGCAGGTGAGCCCCCCGAGAGAAAACCATCCTCTTCTAAAATCTGAGCATTACCACTTCCTTCAAGAGCGAATTAAGTGATTTTCGGTTCCTGTAATGGCAAGGACTCTGTTTGGGGGGATTCAAGACTCTGTTTCGCTTACCCAGATTTCCCATCGGTTATCGTATCTGTCGACCTTTCTTATGCTTTCTGTCGACCACCCCACGACTTTGACATGTACAGAATTCAACTTTTTATGAGTGAAGCTGGACGTTTCAGCCCCGATGTCAGCCGAAGGCTAAACCCCACGATCTCGAACCGTCCCCGCAGGCCTTCGTGCTTCAGGGCAAGGACGCCCCCACCCAGGCGCTCAGCCTGGCGCTCTCCCGGTGGGCCTCCTACACGCGCGCGCGCAAGAAGCGCGCGCTCCAGCGGTGGTCCGCCGCGGTGCACCGCGAGCGCACGGTGCTGCGCGCGGTGCTCCGCCGCCTGGTGCTCCTGCGGTGGCAGCGGCAGCGCGAACGGCACGCGTTCCGCATCATTGCGAACCGCCACAAGCAGTGGCTCGTGCACTCCAAGTGGGAATCCTGGCGTGGGGCGTACCTCTCGCGGTGAGCTTGGAACAAGGGTTAATTTGAATGAGATTTTGAGAGAAACTAGGTGCTTGTACAATCTGAAGAACAACCTTGAAAGTCAACCTCATCTATGCGGAGTTTGGTTTTCTGAATTGACGTTGTTGGTTTCACCCTTGGGAAGATGATGTCGGACGCTGTTTCGACACGTTTCCCTAAGGATATTGTTGAGTCGGGGCTTCATCTCCTCACCTAAGCGCCAGTATACCGCCTCCCCTTATTCAAAAGGATTCACACGTCAAGCACGTTATCCAGTCCTCAAGGCAAGAACTTCTACCCGGCGGTATCCACCGCGCATATCCGCCGTCTTGCTGACGTCGCCAGCTCGCGCGCAGATGCCGCGGCGGCCGCAAGATCGGCATCCCGGAGCTGAAGGTGCTGTCGCGCGCGATGGGCGCGTGGCAGGCGCGCGTGCAGGAGTACCGGCGCAAGAAGGAGCGGCTGCAGCTCGCGCAGGAGTTCCGGAACAAGACGCTCCTCTGGCAGGCGCTCTCGCGCTGGCTATACTTTCAGGTAATGGCATATGTTAGGCCTTGGCACTTCCGTGCTGGCTCTACTTCCAGGTAAAGGTTTACTAGGCCTTGCCCCTTTCGCGCCGGTTCTGCCCTTAGGAAAGGCAAACGCGTGGGCCTCGGACGTCTGCGAGATGCTCTAGTGCCTGCAATGTGCCGTCATGTGTAGACGTAAGGCGGGGTTCTGCAAAGCTCTCAGAGTTGTGTTCGGTGTGAGAGCACTACTCGTGTCGCACCGAAAGACTGCTCTCGGGCGCTGGGGCGAGCCGGAGGGCGCTTAACCGCGAATCGATGGTCCACAGACGTTCTAAAAAGATGCAGACTCCTCCTTTCGACACGGAAGCTTGCGATATGAGGGTCATTGAGGGCAGATTTTCTGCCTTCACAGACTACGGATCGCTAAAGCATGCCACTTCGTACTGTCTACATTCCGGTCAATTCTTTGGCGACTTTTCGTCTGATCAGTTTTATCGTTTTCCGTTTAGGACTGGCGCGCGCACAAGGCCGAACTGCTCCGGACTGCGGATCTACGGCGCCCGCTGTGGCTGCTCAAGGCCGGTTTTCGGGGGCTGCACGAGAACGTCGCACTCTCGCGTGAAAAGAAGCGCGAGCGCGAGCGCGCAGTGGAAACTGCGCTCTCGCAGTGGGCAAAACAGGTGAGCGTCTTAGGAGTGAAGTCCTCTTTTGTGGAGCTTCAATGGAAGTAAATTTCTCGTGTTGTCTATGTTTTAGGGCAGCTATCCGACGTCGGGTGGCTGCGAATATGTCTTGGTTCGGGGCAAGGGGATTGTGAGAGGCAGAACTGCAGGTATATATCGATGAGAGAAATTTTCTACGAAGTTTCATAGCTGTCACCTAACCATCCGATTTGTCTGGGCCCGCGCTGGGTAAGATTCTGATCAGGCAAGCTTACGTGTCGCTACGTCTCTTGGCTACCGAAGAAGATTCCCCGCAACATCGATCGCTCTTTCTTTCTCGTGCAGGCGTCAAAGCACTGCTTTCGAAAGTGGGCACTGCTTCCGGAGCACGCGCGGCAGAAACGAGAGACGATAAAGGCCGCCCACGAGGCCTTCTGCCGGCTCCTCAAGGCCCGAAGCCTCCGCTGGTGGAACAAGTACCGGTTGCAGCGGCGGGAGGGCGCGCGCATGAAAGAAGCGGCGTCGCGGTTCCGCGCGCGCGTGCTCTTCCGGCGCACGCGCCTCGCGGCCGCGGAGTATCAGGAGTACAAAAAGCTGTCCGCCGTCCGGAAGGCCGAACGGGACCACGTGGTGTCCGAGTTTCGGACGCTGACGGGGAAGCGGAAAGCGTTGCGAGGGTTCCGGTGGGCGGTCCGGGAACGGGCGTGGAAGGAGGGCGCAACAACTAGAGCGGCGAAGTGCGCTCGCGTGCACTGTTTGGTGCGCGTGCTGGCGCAGTGGGGGTACTTCGTGGGGCGGCAGCGGCTCGACCGGGAGCACTCGAAGCGGGCCGACGCGCACCGGCGGCGAGCGGCGCTCAGGACGGGGTTTAGGGTTTGGAGGCGCGCGCGCGCGCGGAGGGTTGCGGAGCAGGGGAAGCGGCGGGCTGCTGTAGAGATGGGGAGAAAGGGCGTGCTCCGGAGGATGCTGCGCGCGTGGCACGGGTGGCTGGCGGTGCGCGGGGACTCGGAGGTGTGGGACAAGCGGCGGGAGGAGCTGTGTCTCAGAGCCCTGTTCAGAGTGAGCTGCTGACGGCTATCCCGCAGATTTTGTCGAGTTTTCATTGTGTTAGGGATGATAGACATCATACCTGGTGGGGTCAAGACGAATTGGTGTCATGCCCTTCTGGAAAGTCGGACTCTTCTTAAGAGATCACTGAAGCACAGGAGACAGTACAGGAGACAGTAAGAGGTCCTCAACGAGACCCAAACCTGCTTTTCGCTGTCTTTTTCACAACCCCAGTCTCTCAGATAACCCTCATGTGCACTGGTCTCGCGGATGTTAAGACCTGCAATCTCGTTACATGTAGGGTCCTTGATCAACCGCTGGCTCTCTTGTCTGCAGAGCTGGCACGCTTTGGTCGGCCGCCAAAACGCAATTCGCGAGGCCATCGCCGCGCGCGACACCCACCCGCTCGCCGACGTCATGCCCACGTGGCACGACGTGGCGCGCCGGCGGCGCCTCCAGCGGCGCTGCGTCCACCGGTGGCGAGCCGCGGCCGCTGCCGCGGCTTTCCAAACCTGGGCCGAGCGCATGGCAGATATGAGGCGGAAACGCCACCTGCTGGGGAGGGCGATTCAGCGCTGGATTGCGGCCCCATATCCGTTGATTCAAGTCGCCCTCCGGTGCTTCGACCACTGGAAGGCGCTCGTCGAGACGAAGAAACGGGTGAACGGGGGAAAAGCGGGAATGGTCGCGAGGAAAGCGCGACAGACGCGCGGCCGCGTTGTGGCCACGTGGCGGGAGGAGGTGGAGCACAGGAACCGGTTGCGCGTCGCATTCGGACTTGTGAGCCATCGGGCAAGGCGCGGGTTGAAGCGGCAGTGTCTGGAGGGCTGGAGGGCGGCTGCTTTAGGAGGGGCACAGGTGAGGAGAGTTGCCCGCGGTGTACAATCGCGTGGGCCTGGCAGTTCTTAGGAAGTCGTATCATGCGTTGTCGTCAAGTCGGTTTTCATGTAGCAACTCCGTCTTCATGTAGCAATTGTTATTTTTGAAGAGTCCCGGTGCGGTTCAGGTGAATTCCCACGGCACTCTCCTGATGGATGCCGGCGCTGCGTGTCTGGATATCTGCACGTCTGGGTGCTCATTGGATAGCTTTCCCATCCCTTTATGCAGGAAACAATGTCGGAACAGCGAGCTCCCAAAACCACGGAGCGCCCCCAAGTTCAACCTGTACCCGTTGCCTTCGACCCTCCAAGGGAGAGCCGACTTTCGTTCGGTTCTGAGGCCACCGCTGCGGATGATGTTGAGTGTGCGGCTGACGAGGAACCGTCGCGGTTCCGCGCTTTGTCTGATGTGTTGGCCATCAGCCGCGCTATCAAAGTCGTGGCGCAGTGGCGGGCGGTGATCGCTCAGAGGAAAATGGCGCGGAGCCTGGAGGTGATAGCAGAGTACCGAGCGACGGACTGCGGTCCGGTGGGAACGGATACCGGGCAAGTGAACGAACGGACAGAATTTCCTCAGCACGCGGCAGCATGACTTGGAGCTAAGCAAAGTTTAGCTCGCAAGATCTTCCAAGAGTCTACTTCCAATTGTCCTCAGCAAATCATAGAGAAGCGCATCGCAGTTGGAGCGTTTTGCAGAGTTTCACTTGTGCATGAGCAGCGCAGCCGCGCAAGCGCGGCAACTCTTAAGTACACATCTCCACATGCATGATTGCAATGATGCCGCGAGTCGCCTACAATCCAGCTTTCATGGCATTCAGTTGCATCTGTCGTGCATCCCCATGTGCATTTGACAGTGCATGACAAATATACTCATGCTCAGTCCCCCGCGCGCAAGTCGCTCATTCAATGCTATAATACCTAAAGCTTGCAGCATCCACTTAGTGCAGGTTGGAGATGCTAGCTGCGCGCACATGTGGTGCGGCGCAATTGACCACTGATCACATACTAACAGCAGCATGTGCTTGTTTAACCACTGAGCCCGGACTCCATGGCTCCTTTCGCAACACACGATGGCAAGCTCGCAGGCTCAACGTTGCTCTAGGCGCTCCCGCATCCGATCGTAGTCGCGACTAAGGTTAACCCGTTAGCCTTGCACGTATTCCATGGATATGCACGCTTCAGCTAGTGCACATGTGCATGGTCCATGAGAGGACGCCAAATGCGGAGGCCTCAGGCTGTAGCATGTATAGATTTCCAGCATATGGCTCATGCTGTTCGCAATCATGATCACTAACGGTCCGCACTGCCAGAAGCACAATTGCAACGGCTACAACACACATGTGCGAGGCCATATATGCACAATGAATGATGTCAATGGAGGCTGTACGTGCATCATAGCAGATTTGCAGGCATGACTGACGGTCATGTAATTGTCAGGTTCTGATGTCCATATGACCGGGCATGATTGCGGACCAAATGCATATGTTCCAAGGCGTCGGCTCTACCCCGCTGCGCTACCACTGTTCAGGCCACTGCAACTGCTCACGCACATGCTGGGCCGCCAGCAAGGACCGTCCTGACATGGAAGGACGCTCCGCAAAATCTGCCATTTACTTATGTTGAATCCATGGATACTTTATCCAGCTACAGATTCTCAAAACGATGAGACAACTCATGTGCTCCGGAAGGGCACATGTAGAAGAACAAAAAGCATGCGCCGTAATTTTTGTCAAGCCATGCTGTCCATTTAAGATAGTCGGAGCGGTCCATACCGTGCTGATGGTGGCGACTGCAGGGGAAACAATCTTCGTACCCCTCTTTGTGTTGCCTATCTCAGACCAATGAAAGATCAGGACAGCAGAGAGACACTCAACGATCACAAGTGGCACGAACGATCGATCTTGATACAGAACGGAATGACTTCTCAAAGAAAAAGAAAAGCAGTCTCTTCTCCTCAGCAGTACCTGCCACCTTTCCTCAAGCAGATGCGGGCAAGAGCCAACAGTCACCGCTTCCTTGGCAAGGGGGCAACTGGGGCCCGCATCCTCGGGTTACCAGTATTTTTCCATCATTGGAGAATTCAGAGAAGCTTGAAAGACGTTGAAAAAATCGCAACGTTGGGACACTAACCGTCAGACGATGACTGTACGAGTGAGTTGTTCATGTGCAGTCCACAACTACCAGAGAGAAGCTACTTGCAAAAGAAATAAGTGTAGGTGGAGTTCTAGGGATGGCCTCTGACCCCAACAGACAAGTGAAGAAAGAGTCCAGCCTTGTGTGTTCCAATCGGATTTGAGCCAGCTTCCGTTAGCATCCGAAAATCAAATTGTCGCTGCCAATGTCAGCATGAACGGGACAATAATGTCTGACGAAATGCGACAGTTCCAGAGACACTGCCAGTAGTGTATTGTACTGTTCTCAAAAGCAGGAATGACGCAGTGCTTCCGCATCTCAGCGCCTCTGCTCCTAGAAGTTCATCAGGATGCGTTCCCGTGCGATCCCTTGTTCCGTGAGCATCTCGATCAGTTCCTGCGCGCAAACCATCGACAAATAACTCCTGAGTTCTCTTTCTTCGAACAACTCCTACCCAGTAGCCTTATAACGCACATTATCATCCAAACCCGACTCGTTCCGGCAAGAGGTCGGACTGAACGGAGCAGCAGAGCATTGAGAAACAGAACAGCACAACGTGCCACCAGTTAATGACAAAGCCGAGCCAAAAAACACACTCACTTGACACATCTCCTTCTGACCAACGAGCACGGCGCCGGTCGTCGCTGGGTCGGCGATCGGCGGGTCCTTCCGGTACTTCTCCTGGACGAAGCCAACGAAGCCGTCCTTCCCAGGGGGCTCGGAGAACACGGGGATCACACGCACACCCGACTCCTCCCAGCTCTTGAATCGCTCCTGGATTCAACAAGATTTGAATTCAGGAGTTTGGAGGCAGTGGGGCTCGAAGCTGTTAAGAGATCGGATTAAGGCTCCATCCGAGGGGCCAAATGCACCAGACGAAGAGGGGGAGAAGCGCGGAAACCTTGCAGCCGCACATCCAGGCTGCCCTTGTCGCGGATATCTAAACGAAGGTCCTAAAAATCAGGAGGCCCGAACAAATTAAGAACAAGCTAACCAACCGAGCCTCGTCTTTCCGACCTTAATGTAGTCCCAGTGTTTTCCGCAACGTAAGCCCCCCGCGTCAAGCCTTTAAGGACACCAGCATACAAGCGGCTGCAGTAAGGAGTGCCAATTTAACACTAAAGAGCTCCGTTGCCAACGACTCACAGAACATGAATGGCATTTCTTAGCGTAAGAGGTGCTACTCAATCTGCGCCGAGGAGCCCTGGTAAGCCAGCAAGACAGGCATAGCCAGAGTGCCAGACATCCGGATTAGGGCGTTATTCGTAGACCCCCCCAGCAAATAATTCGACTGGATTTAGTGCAACAAATTAGGACCACGAAACCAGAAACCAGACCAACCACTAAGAGCAATCTGTGCAAACTTTCAAAGTCAAAGACCAACACCAGGGTGCAGTTGCTAGGATTGCCCTATCTCGTCACCTGGAAGGCCATGGCGCTTGACCGGAACGCTCCATAGTAGAGCCGCACATCCTTTCGCTTGTCAGCCTCAAACCCGTTCTCAATGAGCGATCTGATTGGGCTGCAGAGAGGACGCGCACCGTTCACACCAGTGAGCAAAGGCCGTTGGTCTTCATCTGAGTTGACCGTGTCAATACATACGGTACTGGTTTATCAGGATAACCTGGTGCATAAATCACCACCCAAAACACAGAGCGTCTGAGTTCGAAACGTGGCACCATCAAGATTGCAACGCTGTCCATAAGGCAGCTAATGCAAAGTGGAGTCTACTGTGCCGGCTCTGCTCTGACTTGCTGGATCTCTTATAACGCCCGGGTCCGGATATTCTCATGAGCTTAAGGATTATTTCTCAAGTAGAGTGTCATGTAGGCTCCTTGGGCAACCTAAACAAAAATGCACATGAGCAGAATACAAAGTAGCTGAGACCTGCTCCGCACCCTCCCATTTCAGAGTGTACAAACTCCCTCTGGAAAGAGCTGGCTCTCAAAGGGAGAACTATGCAAAACGGGAGAGCGCCAACCTGATTCCACTTCCGGTGGCAAAGATGAGCACAGTGGGAAAGTCAGAGGGAGGCGCAATCAGGTCGATGTTGAAGCCCTTTCCCGCAACCGCGCTGACAAACAGCTTGTCTCCTGCACAGGAATGAGGCGGATGCGTACTTGGCTTAATTCAAGTCTTCTCAGAGACAAAACATATTGATCACGATTTTGGGGTGTCAGGATACCAACGAGCACTTCAGAACTGGTGTTAGTATGAAAGACAAGACATGTTTATTATCGATTTTGGGGTTTGAGGATACCAACGAACACTTCAGAACTGGTGTTAGTGTGCAAATCTTGACCACCTATCTAACTGACCTTGGCTTAGCAGCGAGGGTGACCAGGCGGCCTCTACCACACTCTCAAATACACTTCGACACACTCACCTTTCGATAAATTTGAGAGCAACTCGCTAGTTCCCCCATTGTCTCGGATGAGGACCTCTAGGATCCCGCTGCGCAAACATTGGGCATGACCAGATAAGCAGAGGTCTCAACACAGCAGACTTCTCAACACCCCATGTGATTGCATAACAAGCCGTTGATCATGAACAATACCTCACATGAGCTTATACCAGAACTCATTAAGAGCTCGTCGCAAACCAACATCCGTCATCTCATTTGTCGCTGATCTCACCTTTGTGACTCTTTCGGTGATGATGCGAGGGCAATATAAGCCGGTTTGCTGTCCCCCACCTTCATCTGGATGTACTGGCCAGGAATCGTGTACCCTGCTGTGAGGCCATCAATCTGTTTCAGCAACCACACAACAACGTCACTCAGTAGGCTAGCAAAATTCTGGTTTCAGGAGTTCAGAAGTCCCACAAACTTCTACAGGAACTTCAAAAAACCTGCTGCTGGTTTGCAGAAAGCCCAGGAATACTGTTTCTGCCTGTTCCAAGTGCTTGAAAGGGCAGGGTCTGAACACAAGGGCGCTGACCTCTCGCACGTCAACCCACAAGCTGGTGAGCAGATCCCCCGCCTTCTTCGCATCCGTTATGGTGGCTTCTTTCCAGTCAACCTGTGCGTTCCAATCTGCCATCACCACCCCCAATTGCTGGTTACTTCTGGCTGTGCTCTGAACCTCCCGCACGCTTTGGACTTGGAAGCGGGATGATAGGTCACGAGAGAGGAAGGAGGTGGTGGTAAGCTGCTGAGCGGCGCACCCTGGGCATGGGGAACTTGGGCGAAACCCTGGTGCTGCAAGAAAGACAAGTCAGGGAAAACCGATCGGATTATTCTTATGGCATCATGTGGTTTGCTTCAGCGGTTTGCAGCTTTCGAAGCACAACTTTGGACAGCGAGCACATTCTGGTTTTCCAACCCCTCTTGTGCGCTGAGACCAGTGGATGCGGATTCTCTGAGCTGCTGCTGATTGATCTCTGCCAGAAGTGCCGGAAAGAAACCTTCTGGACGATATTGTTGATCAAGCACTGAGCGACAGAAGGTGCACTTTCAATTGTAAGCTGAGATGTTGCATGTTTATAACAAGTTGCTATCTCAGACCCTCGTCAAGCATCCACTCTTGATCATACCGCCGTGACTACAATCCTCAAGAAGTACTCCAGATTGTGAAGTGATTACCTGGACTCCAAAGGGTCCCTCCATATGAGCCAGAGGGGGCGCTGTTTCTCCTAGGTTTCAGCAGGCCAAAAGACGCTGTGGCTACTGACTGACACGCGGTCGTGGCCATGGTGCTCTGCCTGTATCTGCGGCTGATTACGAAGCCTCTGGATTCGAGCAACACGTTCACCGCTCGTTCAATGTGCAGGAACGCCAGCGGCCTTGCCGTTCGAAGTGAGCAAATGAGGCAAGCCGGAGGAGCACTTGGTACCAAGATCTCGCGCTCAACGTGAGCAATGTGGAGCAGAGGAGGCCACCTGCTTCACCTGAACTTCAAGAACCACACCACCTTGAAGAAGACGCAATGCCGTCGGTGCTTCTCGGTCTGAAATGGCCACCATGATGCAGCAAAGAACGCAGTCAACTCTGTGCTGAAGGAGCCAGCAACTAGGATGACGGGATTTGTCAAAGTCGGCATCCCACACATACGTGCTCAAAAGCGCACAGACGGTACCTACCTTCTGCGGAGGTTGCTTTCCTCAACATCGTTCGACAGATTCATGCTCATGAGCGGAAAAGTGGGTGGCAGAGTACGTCGGCATCGAACCTAAACTAGGAACGATCTTGTGGATAAATGCTGACGGTATGATACCGGTATCTCTGGTTTTTGCCGCCACATGCGCGCCCATGTGGTGTGACTTTCCCAGTCAGACTTGACCAATTGAAAACTTGAAGTTGGAGTCGAAGCCAATTGCACAGGCAGAGGAAGCGCCATGGTTGCCATGCCGTAGGTGCACAGCTGTGGCCTCCCAGAAGGAAAGCTTTCCAGCTGCAGGAGGTGCATTGAAGCTGCTTCGACTGCCTGGACGGACGTCTCCCCAGGAGAACCTCATGTAGTTGAAATTTAGCCAAAATCGGGTCGTAGGGACCGCCGAAGAAAGGAGGGGCCCCTTACGAACGGCAACCATTACCTGTTAAATTCAAATGTTAGACAGGCCCACGCAATAGCACGCATCCGTGTTGACCATCTCAGAGTGTTAACAGTGAAGCATGGATGATCATTTGATGCTTACCGATCCAACTTCGGAGGAGGGGCCAGAGGGAGTTCTTGTGGCCCCAGAGTGGCCTCCGTGGTCGGAATTTAACCCGGACGATGACTCACTTGCAACTGGGTGGAACAGTTTGCTGCAAGTCGGGAACGAGAATGACGGGGGCATTGGTGGGATGCAGGATCAGGTATGTGCTCTCGTCTCCTGCGCCCATCCGCAAGCTGAGGTCGGCAAAGAAAATTTTGCATGAGAAGCTTTTGCTGATGCCGACACTAAACCTCAGTCTGTATCCTGTGACTGGTCTGAGGAGGGGCTTGATTCTACATACTAACCTTTAGTTGCCGGCCCTGGTAGAGTGTTGCTGTAGATTTGGATAATCACCTAAGAATGACCGTTTTGCATTCTCATCCCACTGAGAACTTGCGCCCGGGCAGATAAAGCTCTGCTCAAAGCATTTAAGCACTTTCGTTCAGGTAGGTTCAGTCTCATGAAGGATGAGTTTATACCGCATGCTAATTGCCGTGCACTCCATGTTTTACAGCTTCTTTCAGAACCTGCTTTGAAGGATGACCTAAAGCCCGTTTCGGATTCAAGTGAAGGGATGTTACCAGCCACCCACCCGCCCGAGGCAGGTCCCTCGCAGCCTTTCCATCATGGTGCACAGTCAGCCCCCGCCCCATTGCAGCAGCAATTAGAGCAGCAGCAGCAGCAGGAAGCGCAGAATGCTTTGCACAATAGCTGGCCAATGACTGGCCCCGGTCCTTTGAGGGGCCACGCAGGATCCTCTTTACTGCCTGGGATGTCTGGGATGGTGTCTCAAGCCGCCGCAGCGGACAGCGATGAAAGAGCAAACCTTTTGTGGGGTGCCCCTTCATCCAAGCAGCGCCTGCGTTGGACCCCGGAGTTGCACGAACGGTTTATAAAAGCTGTGGAGTCTTTGGGAGGACCCGACAGTGAGTTTACCTCCTTGGTGTCTCTAACCATGCCAGAGGTTTACCTTGTTCATGAATTTCAATGAGTATCATTTGAGATAACCCCCCATTTCTCCAAAATGCAGAATGTTGGAAACTCCCAGGGGTCTAAGACTTTGAGGGCTCTCTTGTATGCACCTAGTTGCATGTTTGCAATCATCCTGACAATTCTGCAGGTTAATTCATTCATTTGCCAGCGCAAGTCGTGATCGTCTTCATGAACTACAAATGAGAAAAGTTTTTGGCTGCTTGGGCCTGCATCATTTCCACTGTGGCCAAGTGCAGCTCCGGGTAAAGCAATGCAAGCTGATAGGCCATCATCAGATCAGGAAGCTTTGCCGCGCTGCAGTGGTATCTGGGGCACTTCGCTCCTTGATGTACAATTGTTCCATTGAGCACTATAGCAAAGTTGATGTGCATATTACTCACATCACCTTCTCTTGCAGGGGCAACTCCTAAAAGGATTCTAGAGCTGATGGAGGTCAAAGGCCTCGAGGTATCGCATGTCAAGAGCCATTTGCAGGTCAGTTTTACCAATTTGAAATTCTCCAAGCAAGGGGCCTTTGCGACGGATAGGTGATTCGTGTGTCTCTGCCTCAATACTAGAAGTAGGTTGGTGTAAGCACCAGCGCTACTCTCATCGCATTGCTAACCCCCCATTTGGAGTTAAGCTGTTGACGAAGAAATATTGTCCTTTTGAACAAAGAGTACACAAGCAGTTGGTAGCAATCTGCTGTTGCGGAGCATGCCTTCAGATTGTGGCCTTCTTTCTGAGAATGCCCGTTTTTGTTTGCAGAAATTTCGTATTGCAACACGAATACCGGAGTTGGGAACCTATGGGATGCGTGAGTAACCCAGCCTTTCGCCTTCCATTACTTGCCTTTTATGTTGCCGATTGTCAGTAGCGTCTGTTGCAGTTCTGCCCTCAAAACTGCTCTTGTTAGAGCGCATTCTTGCAATCAATGGACGCTCTTTTGGATAACCTCCGGTGTTGCATTTGGAGCCTTGTATCTTGCAAACATCTGCAGCAGTATTATTGCACAGCAGGACTAGTGTCGCCTGACGACAGTGACTTTTAGCCTGACCTGCTCGTTGCTCCTGCAGACATGGGGAGCTACCAACTTACCGCCCTTCCCAACTCCCCGATGCCCTCCCCTTCTCCCCCCCTCCCCAACCCCGCCCGGCGCCCCCCCCGCTCCATCCCGCTCCTCTAGTAAACAATCGCACAGACAGGAGTCCCATAAGCAGGAGGTTGTGTCGCCAGCACCTATCGGTCCAGAACAGGACCTCTCTCCGAAGGCTCGAAAGCCAAGCCCCCAGCCAAAGGTGCTGCAGCAAATGGTCCAGCCTGCAGCGCCGCTGGAACCACCGCAGCCGCAAGCGCAAGCACCTCCACAGCAGGGGCCAGCCACAGAGTACGTTTTCTCTATGCTGCTAGGCTGACAAATGCAGGCTGTATGGGGCGAAAGGCGGAGGTTTGGGAACTTGGAGGTTTGAAGGTCTGAACAGATTGTGACCAAAGGGTGGTCTTCCAGAAAAAGAAAGCAGCTTTGTAGGGTGGGTGGGCTGGTTGCAGGTTGGATAGCACAGGGCCTGGGTGTATGGAAAGGAATGGACCCCTGTCTATAAGGCGAGTTTGTGATGATGATTGATGCACAACTTCGAAGCTGTCAAATAGAGGTGCTTATGCCGATCTTGTCTGCTTGCAGGGTCGGCGTCGGTGCTGGTGCTGGGCCTGGGGCGGGGGCCGGGGCTGGCGGCATGGACATAATGGAGGCCCTCCGGATGCAGATGGAAGTGCAGAAGAAGCTCCATGAACAATTGGAGGTAAGCTTGTCCGGTCCACCTTGAATCCCAACAGTCCGACCAGTCAGTCAATAGAGGCCCTTATATGCTTGCCAATTGGCTTGAAGGTTCCCTCTTGAGAAGACACTCATGTGGTCAACATCCTCGATCAAGGCGGAATACGACTCCTAAATGCAGGTCGCCAGCTTTACTAGCTCTTGTTGCAACTACGGAATGGCATCCGTTTTCCAAGTAGTAACGGACAGAGGGTGGCTGTGGCCTAGAATTGCTTCCAACCCATCCCATCACAAATAACACTTTGCTTGAGCTCTGCTTCTCAATCAAACTCACGACTGAGGTTGCATTTGTCTTGGCAAATGTACTTTTGTGCCGCTTCCATCGTTTTCCAGCTGCCCCGTGGGACATGGGTGCTTGATGAGCGAAGCATGGCAAGCGCGCTTGTTCTCAGCCGCGCACCTGTGGTTTTTGCAGGCTCACCGGCGATTGCAGCAGTCGATGGAGGCGAACCTGCGGCGGATCCTGGAGGAGCAGCAGCGCCAGACCAGCAGCACGGGCGCGTCCGACTCGGAACCCTCGGGGCGCAGCGCGACGCAGTCGGAGCAGCAGTCGCTCCTCGCGCAAGGCCAGCAGCTGCTGCAGATGTCGCAGCGGCAGCTCACGCAGCAGACGCTCACCGCCCCCCGGCTGCCGCAGCTGGACCTGCCCCCCCCGAAGCAGCGCAAGGCGCGGGAGGTGTCGGAGCCGCCGCGGGCCAAGCGGCGCAAGCACGACGGGCAGGCGTTTCCGGGGGAGATGCCGGCAATGCCCAGCGAGCGCGCCCGCGCGATTGCCAACGGGAGCTGGGGCACGCCGTCGCGCGTGCCCAAGGTTGGGACCCCTCCGTTGCCGCAGCAGGGGTCGTATTCCCCGCGGGCGGCAATGGCGGCGCCGCAGTATGTACCCTCGTATGGCATGGTCCAAGTGCAGCAGCCCCCGGGGAATGGGGGACATCCGTTGCAGCAGCGGGGGTGGCCGTTGATGCAGCATGCGCAGCAGGGGGGGTTCGGGCAGATGCCGACACCAGGATATGGCCCCCCTGGGGAAGAAGGGCAGGCTCCGGTGGATGGTGGGTATGATTCGCCAAGGCATCGACAGGGCAAAGGGAACCCCGGGGCGTCGAATCTGGGGGAGGGTCTGGCAAGACGGCACAGCCAGGCGGCACTTGCTCCGGACGGGACTGTAAGCGGCAGTCTCCAGCCGGGGGCCCCGTATGACGGAGTTGTGCATGGGGTGCAAGCGCAAGCCCCTCCAGAGCATCCAACGCAAGCAGGGCCAGTGACAGGGCCTGCACTTGACGTACAAGAGAATCCAAGCGAACCAGGGGACGGGAGCGAGGGGCCCGGGGATATGTGGGCACAGCAAGAGGTGCACCTGTGGTTAAACGATTCTGATCAGATGCCACCTGGTTCGTTAAACCAATGGGATGACGGTGGGGCCACAAACGGCTCAGGGGGTTCAGACGGTTTGGGGAACCGGAGAAGGGCGCTGAGGGCAAATGCCTGATCTGAGTGTTTGATTGTTCTCTACACGGTATATGATGTACCTAATAAAGAGAAATAAACTAAGAAAGACACAGTCAAAAGCGTGGTTGCTTTTCCTTTTCTACGGCGCGGTCGAGGTGTACACTGTACGCTTGGCTAATTTCCTTAATATTTGGGTGAACAAAAAGCTGAAACAGCTTCCAACCTGGTTCATGTTCATTCATTGGCGGAATACATTGGAGACCCTCATTTGCACCAAAACTCCAACCTACTGCACTGCTCGGGCGGCACGGCGCGCCCGCAGGCCCGCATGCATGCATGGGCCAAGTCTCGTCCGTTTCACCATGTACCATCATGACGATTCTATTGCATGGACATGAATTTTGGCTAAGCCTAACATTAAGGCCGGCCCATCCATGTACACGTACGTGCAAATTGACTATGTTGATCCGACTGCAGAATGATCCAGGCATGCAACATCACGTCTAGCTTGTTGAAAGTAATGCATCACAACTTTTGTGGCGCTGAGTTCATGTGTGCTGCCATGCACTGCACATTGCAATTACTTGGTTGAATGCCCTCTGCGCAATGAGTGTGCTTTGACTGATGTCATGTGCGTTTCGACTCTTCCTTGCCCTGCCACTGCACAAATCTGGGCGCACAGACAAACAATTGCTGCCTACCTGTGTATGATGCTCAAGTTAGGACACTTTGATCTTGGCCCCCCGCTCTGCAAGCAACTAGATGCATGCCAGGTCAACCGAGTCGCTTTCTTCTGAATCCCTACTGTGTGCATGTATGTGTCCTTGAGCTTTCTGTACAACAGACTGGGAGTGCCAGCCTTGGCCTATCCAAGTGTATCCTGATTCGAACCTTCAACTGACCTTAAGGAGCTGGAGGAGCGTTGACCATCATAATTGCAGCTGCCGACTATATACAATCTCATTCTGACTTCTCCTAACATCTCTCAAGAGCCTAACTACGCTGAAGATCCGCCTGCACAGCTGCTTACTGAAGCTCTTCCTAGTTACAAACGGGCACTGATTGTCGATGTACGATCCCTCGCTCTACTTGCAGAGTCTGGTCGGTCCTTCTTTCGGGTTGTAGTAGGTCGGATCCAGGACTAGAACATCTGCTCGGATCGTCATCAGCCCGTCCTGCAAGTAGGGGCTGTGTGGCCCTATTGCCTCCTCCCACGGGATGCCGAGCCAGTCATGGAACGACCAGTCTTGCTGAGGCCCTGCAGTCGCAATAGGAAATGCTCGTAGGCTGGGCCACAATGAGTACTAGCGTGCAGCGCTTGCGCTCACCGTAGGCGGATGATCTTGTCAGATGCCAAGCTCACCAGCCTTCCATCCACAATCCCGCGTCTGACAATTGAACCAGGCCTGCAAAATTACTACTAGTAGAACGGAACCACTTCTTTTTGAGGGTGTCCAGAACAAAACCGTGAATGCAAGCTCACGAAACGGAACGACAGAGAGTAACCTTCCGTCAGAGTAATCTAAAAGAAGAGGAAATGCTTTGCAAACAAATCGGCGCCGTGAAGGTCGACCTACCGGGAAAGTCTCCCCCTTTGACGAACCCACGGGGGCTGATGAAGTCCCCCGATGGCTGGGTCTGGACGAGGAACTCGCACTCTGCCGTCCCTTTACTGGAACCGACCCTCCACAGCCTAGTAAGACATTGAATGAAGAAGCAACGCTCTTTGATCGTTTAACATGTTGAGTCCCCGCGGGGACGTGATCCATCTGACGCAGAGTTTGTCTGATTTGGGACCAGACAAAACCAGATACTCACGGAGTAACACGCAACAAGGAGAAGAATTGAACCTTCTGCCTGGACGCGTGGCAACCCTGTCAAACAGCGCATCGACGTCCCCAGGCGAAGCAAAGGGAACGGCCGGTTCGATCTGTTCAAATGAATCCAACATTCAACTGACCTTCAACTCGTCGACTGAGTTCAACCGTTCAACTACTGATCAACGTTCAACGGCTGATTCAGTTCAACCGTTCAAATGAACCGCTGTCCAACTTTGTTCTACTGCGGCCCTCAGGTCAAACGCCATCACTGGTAAGAACGGGGATTTAAAAGACATGTTAGGATGAGGCGATCTTTATCAAGTTAACGACACCCACCCGATGAACATGGCGTACGTGCCGGCGTCGTTGGCGCGGCTGCAGCGGCTGATCTTGACGTCGAACTCGTGGGCGCCCACCCGGAACTGCGGCGACTGCAGGCTGCCGCCGTTGAGCGTGAGGCCCAGGAACTGCTCCAGCCGGAACTGGAAGGTGAAGGACACGAAGTGGCCGTACCGCCGCATGCCTGGAGCGGAATAGGAGAGCCGTTGGTAGCTTTCTAAAAATATAAGAAAGCTGCCTGAAATATGGATTTCTCCTGCTAGCAGTAGTGGAAGGTGAAGGACACGGAGTGGCCGTACCGCTGCATGGCTGCAACGGAGACAGAGAGCTTGCTTGAGAACTGGGAGGCGGAGAAGGTGCCTGAGTAAGACCTGCAACTCACGGCCCGGAAATGGAAGGTGAAGGACACGAAGTGGCCATACCGCTGCAGGCAGGAAGGGGAGCATCAACGGTGACTTGGTTGTAGACAGGAGAAAAGATTCTTGCGTGATTTATGCACCTTGTCTGCTAGCGGTTTCCATAAGGGGTTTGCGGGACAGCGGCCCGATGGAGACTAGCGAGAAGCGGGACACCCACTCCGAGAGGCTCGAGAAAGCAGGATCCGCGAAGAACAACGAAGTTAGACAGGAGAAAGTTAGAAGGACGAAGAAGCCAAGCAGCATCAGAACTCGAGAGGGTTCGAGCTAGAGGGCTGCGGTAGTGAAAATCAGAGCAGCTACCGTGCAATTGGCTGCCTGACCAACATCTGCTGAATACTCCGTGCCACGGTTTCGTCCATAACCTTCCTCTGTCCAGGTACCTTAACAACCTGTACGCTCGATTGATGAGGTGTCTACCCTACCGTTTTGTTTCCGTACCCAATAAAACTGGGTATGCTGACCAAATTGTTTAAACCGATTCACGGCACTTACGATACCGGCTGTGCTCCATGGTGGTGACCGCCAGCTCTTGCCGGCGCTCCTCTGAGAAGGCCTTGTACCAGAGCGCCTCATTGATCAAGTCACGACCGACCGGGGTGTCCAGCTCGGGCGCCTTGGCGGCGCAATCGTACAGGTACTCCCCGGGCATGAACGGAAACCTGGAAGGGAAAATGATAAGGTTACATTGGCTCTTGATCCAACAATATACCATACGCTGCGGAGCCAGTGCGGAGTCGTACGCCAAGCAGACAAAACGGCTTTGCTCCAAGGAAAAGCACATCGAAAACAACCTGCTCGTGTTGAACATTTCATCTTTGCATTTCCCCTGCCTATCATGGTTTGCCCGGCTCAGTGTCTCTCGTATCTCCTTTCGTTTCCACATCGGGATTGCTGTCAAAGTCGATTATAATCCGGGATCCTTCCTCTTACCTGATGAGGGGCGCTAGGCGGGCCACAGCCTCGTCGCGCTCTTGTCTGCAGTCTGCCGGATAGTGGTAGCGGATCCAGGCCAGGAACACCTCGAAGACTCGGGCCTCTGCCTCGACCATGAGGTCGCTCTTGAGCAGGTTCTCCATCACGGGGAGGGGCACCGTCTTCAGCTGCTCAAAGTGGTCCGCCTGGCTCAGCCCCTTGAAGTTGCTCACCTACGCCAGAAGAAAAGCACTCTTGTTCGAAGTTTACTGATGCAGAGGAAGTTCGATTGGAGTTGCTCTTAGTGCCTCACGTTCTCTGTCATTGTGCGCAGTACAAAAAACGAGTAAGTAACAAAAGTACATTTCTCATCACAGCAATCGCTGTAGTTTGCAGTTCCAAGAACGCAACTGCTTGTGTTGGTTTCGCGAAATTCTTTGAAACATGCAATTCGAAGCGCCCTCACCAGGAAAGTGCTGCACGACTTGACCACCTTCTTCAGAGGGCCGTACGTCTGTTGGAGGCTCTCGGGGAGCGTGAGGAAGAAGAGGCTGTTGGCGAGTGTCAGTGGGAGGCGCGCCAGGGAGCGCACGCACTGCTCAGCGCAGGCGCGCACCTCGAAGCGGTCTGCCAGCATTAGCAGCGTCTTGATCTCTGTGGGATCGGTGACACTGTCGAGGACGTGGCCACCTCCGAACATGAAGCGGAGGAGAAGGATCATGGGGCGCTCCTCTGTAGAACGAAAGGAATAGAAGCTGAGAAAGAAAAGAAGCGACAGGGCTCAAGTGCATCCACGTGGCTTAGACTGACTTCCAGGAAGGAGACCGTAACTTTTGACTACGTCTGAGAAGCACTATACTGCATTCAGGCAGGTGCAAAAGTCCGTTGACTTGCCTTTCGGTGAGAAGCATGAAAGGACTTGACCTCGGAACACTGGCTTTGAGAAGTTCCTTGTTTTGTACAAACATCTAGAAACCTCTATGACCATCTCAGGTGGTGTGGGGCGCTCTTAAGATGTAGTTTCACTCTCGCACAAGCCTGCACTGAGAAGCAAGGGCCAGCAAGTAAAAGATTGATAACCAAAGTAGCTATACCTTCCGGAAAAACCTCCAGGGTCACATTCTTCTGCATGGACTCCTTGAAGCCGCTTGGTCCAAAAAGCTTCATAAAGTACGCGCTCCGTCCCGCCAGGATTGCTGAACTGACGTGGATGGAGCGGGTGCGACAGTTCTGAGGCATCCCACTGCTGGATGCATCTGTTCATGCGCAAATGTGGACCATCAGAAGACATGAAATATCTTGCTCACTCAAATGGATGTCACCTCATGTCGATGACGGTTTTTTCAGGTAAGTGCTGCTCTCAGATTTACTAAGTCCAGCCAAAACCTAATGGTGGTACAAGATCATGAATTCACTAATGCACATTAAATCAGAGACGTTTGAGAACAGAGAAACAGCACGCAATTTTTGCAGATGACGGAGCAGAGATATCCCACAAAGCAGTACAATCCAAAAATCTGTTAACTTTCTGAATTTCAAAATCCTTCAACATTCACTCCAGTTGGAGGAAAGAAGCTTAATGAGCTACAAATAATAATAAACTATCATTGAAGCCCTCAAAACCACGAATTTCAAGGGCAAACTAATAAACTCGCCTACAATGTTGTAAAAACAGAGGATTTGAGGAGTAAGGCGACAAGGACGTAACACCAAATATGACAGGCCAGAATGGTACGTACTGGGAACGGACGAAGCGCCAATGAGAGGGAGTCATAGAAAATTAAGCTTGCAGCTGTTGAAGGTAGGAACCAGATGTTGCTTGGATGTGACGTTTCTTACTTACCACCACTTGTCAGCGTCAGCTGGCCCAAAGGAATTGGACTGTCTTTGACTCTCAACTGAAGCACTCGGTCACTAAATGCAGCATTGTCATACGCAAAGCTGAAATCATTGGTTATACAGCAAACGTCAGGTTCACCATCCGTTTCCATTTTGCAATTAAACTTGCTCTGCACTCTTGCACTGGGGGCACCTCACTTTGCTGCTTGCAATTGAAACGATCTTTTGGTCTTTAAGACTGATATCTCTAATGGAAACTGAAATCCGACCCCATAACGAAGTTGCCAAAGTGAGTCCTGAAAGTTCAGCGGGCTACAAATCACGAAGCCGCCAGCAGTTGAGAAGCTTGACTTCCATTGAATACATAAATGATAATGTAACTCAAAGTAGGCGAGAATGGGTACATTTACTACAGCTGTTGTAGGCTCTAGACCACTGGCACCATTGCATGCGTCCCCTGCTGCACTCTCCTGCTGAACTCTCTAGTGTAGGGTAAACACCAAGCTGACTTGAAGTTGAGGATGAAGCACCATTGTGGGAAGACTCAAGAGGTCTGGACAACCGCCGCCATTACCCCGAGGGGAAGTCATCGTATCGAACGGCTGAGAATGTCCAAACCAAACCAGATTAAGGTACCTATGAGTTTGCCAAACCGTCCACGATTGCTTTCCGACCAATCACATTGCTTCCACGTGGAGACTGGTCAGTAGTCGGCGGATGGACCGGGACAGTTGTCACGACACGCGTCAAGGACACAACGATGCGCGCCAATGCCAATGGAGTCACGGACCACGGTGCTCAGGCTGATGTCAGTGTTTTCAGTCGCTCCGAGTCCAAGTCACTCCACCTTCGAAGTCTGTGCGAACGACACTTCCCTGATCAGTTTTCATTCATAACAAACTGCTGTTCGAAGACAAGAGTCTTGCCTTGGAAATCGCAAAAATGGCGCCTTCTGCAGGTCGCAATCTGCTCCTTATAGGAGCGCTATTTGTGCTCTTCGTTGGTGCCAATGCACAGAACGGGACTACAATTCAAATCAACGTAAGGTCTTGCATGGATCTTTGTTTAGTTATGCAGCTTCGTAGTGCCGCATTGCTCTGTGTGGTACACTTTTGAAGGTCCGAGCTCCCGCAATGCATTGTCTTATAAAAGGTGCTTTTCCAAATGGTCCTTGACAAAAGTGTTTGTTCAATTTTGCAATTCGTGTTGCATTCCAATTGTAGAGGTGCGAAAGCTGACTTTATGATTTCAAATGAAGTGCTGGTCAATGATCATCTTCCTTACCTGCAGCAAGTGGGCTTTAGACTGTCTTTTCTTAGCTTGGAGACTGGGCAAGTGGTTTCTACTGCGTCGTCAGGAAGGGCGCTCTCCAATCTTTGGAAGCAATACATGAGCTGCTGTTGTATAAAAGGTTCTTGATTGGTGGATCTTTTCAAACTACCTGTGAAATAAAGGAGTTGTCACTACAGTTGCAGAACTGGATACCTTCTTTTGACCAGTGGTGAGATTCACTGAAGTTGACCTCCTCTTTGCTCCCAGTTCATCGCCGCCAATGGGCCGGTGGTTGTTGGAAAGTTCCTCCAGTTCACGACCCTTCTCCGAAACAGTGGACCGAGCAGCTACAATGGTTCCAATGGTACCAATGTAACTGTGGTGTTCAATGGGACGCTGAGCGTCACCTGCTCTGGTAAGGGTTTAAGTGACAATTCTCCTATGCTTCTTGATCTTTCCAACTTCCAGACTGTGAAACCAGAGATCTCTTGGATGCTCCACAAAGGTTCTCCGCAGATGCTCATAAAAGGTGGCACCTTTAGCATTCGGCTTTCTCGCCATCAGTGCCCCTAGCTAAGATGAGATCTGTGCTTCTTGACACTGGCATTGAGAGAAAGTTGATCAGGGGCAGTCCCCTGATGCTGTCATCAAGACACTCCTTCTGGCCCACCTTCCAAATTGCTGGAGCACTGCCCAAGATTGGAGCAGCAATTACTGGTTGTCTACCTTCATTCGCATCTTTTCGGGACTTGCATTTGTCACTTCCCCCCCAATTGGAGTTGCGGAAGCCAAGGGTCTTTGTTTTCTGTCTGAATGGAGACGACTGCATCATCGGTCAATTGTTTAAGGAGTTTGGTCCAGAAAGTATGTCTGGCCAGGTGCGTATATGCTTGGCGAGACAACACAGAGAGCGTTTTTGTTCAGACATGCATGCTTCAAGCATCACAATCTCCTCTTGTTCGTTCCTAACGCCCCACGTTGCTCCTTCTTGAGCCAACGCATCATACAAGTTCTGCCTTTCTTTCTGGAATTGCAGATGCCTACCTTTTGAACGTCAACTCCACCCTCGCCAGCCCTGGGTGCAATGAGCAGATCACCATCCCACCCTATGCGGTTGGCAGCCAGCTCAATGAAAGCTACCCTGGTTGTGACGTCAACCCTCAGGGCCTGATTGACCTAAACACCACCACCGGCCCCGTGCGATACCCGACATCGGTTACTGCTGATGGCCATACTGCCACCTGGACGGTAAGGCATCTCCAGTTGCAGACACTGATCAATGAGCTATCTTTTTTACTGGTCTGCATTGATGTTTAGACCCGGCAAATTGGGATCAGAAGCTTCAATCGCCTGTCGTCATTTGGAACTCACCTGTCCAACGGTTTCACCTTCTTGATTTTGCAGCAGGATTGTCAATGCTAGCACCTAACAAGGAGCGAAAGAGTGCCTCCCATGACTGGAATCCAGCATCTTTTCTCTGTAAATGAACCTCCCAGTCTGTCTTTCCTTCCTTTCTGCTTTTGTTCAGGTTCTTGGACAAATTTTGATTTGAAAGGAACATGATCGCACAGACACCTCCACTATGTTCGCTGCGCAATTCTGGGTTCAGGACCTCGCCCTTTTTGACGAATGGAACACAAAGGAAAAATTCATCCGACCCTATTTATCTGTTCTGCTCGCAGAATGTCATCCTCGCTCCTGGCGTCACCACGGCTCTTCCCGTGGTTGGCTTCATCCAATACCAGCAGCCCATCCTGTGCCTGGCCACCTTTGGACCGTCTGACCCGACAGGAGCCAACTCCACCATTCTCAATGCGCCGAGCGGCGTGAACGGGACTTCGTCAAACACCCTCCAGAAGGGCACCATCTTCAACAGCATCCTGCAGCCGGTGAGGTGTTTTGACAGCTGTTACTGCCCTGTTTGTGTGCAAGTGATGTACAGTCTATCAGAAACAGTCTGCCCTACATTGTCGCGTCCTGAGGACTGAACGTCAGAGTGCTGGGGAGGGGCTTGCATGCAATGAAGTTAGGTGCTTTCATTTGCGACTTGGAACGAAACGACACTTGGTTCTGGCACGATTTGCAGCATGCAACCTAAACTTGTTCAAAATCCGAACCAAAGATGTCGAGGATCCAGCAGGTTTCTGCTGGTGAGACTGTGATTACTGGCATATGGTAGCTTCCTTCCGCGGGTGCATCACACTGTACTGTGTCATGTAGAAGGCTCTCTCCATTGTCTTCAAATTCTTGTATGTAACGGCATGCTCCGTTCTTGTTGCAGCCCAACCCGCCTCCGAACCCCCCTCCCCCGAACCCTCCTCCGCAGAACCCTCCCCCTGCAAACCCCCCACCTGC